TGATGCTGGGTATGAGCCTGTATACTACAGATTTCCGTTTCCGTGAGCCAAACTTGTTTTTTCCAAAAATTTTCATTTTTCTGTAAAACAATTTTATTTTATTTTTTAAATTTTTTTAAATTTTTTGAGGTAATCCTGGGAGATAAAAAAAATGGTATTCCCACTAAAGAAATGGTTGATTATAGTAATTAAAAGATGATATTGATTATATATAATGTAAACACATTAAATATATTTTACTAATAAAATTTTAAACGTTTGATTTTAAAATTTTAAAAGTGATTTTTATATAAAAAAAACTTATTTACATGTTTATTTTTTTATTATAATAAATATTTTTAATTAAACATTTCAAAATAATTAAAAATAAAAAACGACATATCCAACTTTAAATTATTTTTTTGTCGACAACTTTAAATTATTTTAAACAGTAAGTAATGCATTAAAAAGAAGCAAGTTTTGTTTTTACTAAAAAAACATAAAATTTCTTTGCTATTCACTTGCTTTGGACACGACCGGTGTAATATTGACAATATTTGTGGGTACATAGTACAGTAGGCCAGGCCTGTTATAATGGGCCAAGACTGTTTTAATTAAGGTCCCAACATCATTTTTAAAAGAAAATTAATTGAGGAACACTACAAAGTGTTGGATGGAGAAATATAGAAAACATTTAAAAATATTTATGTAAAATTAGTTTAAATAATTTTTTTTCTTAAGTGAATTTTACATCTTCTCTCTTAATTTTTTTTTCATACTTAATATTATTTTCTCAACTTCTATATTCAACGTTCTTTAACTTTTATATTTAACCGTCTCCCTTATCTGATACCCAACTTTCATCTTTTTTTCTTACCTTTCTTTTCACTCCACCCTATGTCTAACTTCTCTCTTCTTCTTTCCATTCTTATCCTACCTCATACCTATCTCTCACTCATTTTTCCATATCCAACTCTCTATCTTCCACTGTTTATATATTACTGCTTTCCTTATTTCTGTCTATCTTCAGTTCTTTCTTTTCCTACACCTAGCTTTCATCTCTTCAAATATACAAATTTTGCTTGTATCAAAATAATTTGCTTAAGTGAATCTACAAAATTTACTTAAACTAATTTTGCATGAAAATCTTTTATCATTTTCTATATTTTTGCTTAAGCAAGTTTATTTTCACTTAAGCAAAAATAAAACTGGACATTCAGTTCCTGTATTAACTGGAGTGAATCCGCATTCCAAAGTGTTTATAGAGGGGCATATTTTAGAGTTATATATTTTTATTAATCAATATTTATAGATTTTAAAATAGAAAAATTAAAATAAACAGATCAGTATATGTTTTGTTCAAGTTATACACTGATATATAACTGTATTTGAAGTATTATCCACTTTAATGCTCGTGGTCTCGCAATTTTATTTTTGAAAAGCGTTTTAATGGGTTCAAGGAGGTAGACATTTATAATTTATCTTTCAATATGAGCTTTGAGGTACGAAACAAAAGCCCCATATGAGTGTTTATTATCAATATTTTGTTCAACTTTCATTAGTTTACCGCATCTAAAGTATTTTTCGCTTTGACACTCATAAGCCACGACTTTAAATTTTCCTTTAAAAGACATATTGGTAGGTTAAAGAAGGTGAGTGTTTATAAATTTAGTATATTGTCATATATTATACTTTTAATCGATGTTCTTTTAATTTATTTTTTACTATTAAAATAATTATTACAACGATATCATATTTAACAACTTTGTCAAATAAATACATTATAAAACACCATATTTAAGTTAGCTAAAATACAAGTAATGAATGTATCCTGCTGATAATATGATTGGTTATTGCAATTAATAAATCATTACTTGTGCATATGAGTCCGAATACAAATATATGTCTTTATAATACAAATAAGGATTTGGATTACATAATGCCATATACAAATTTTATCCACTGTGATTCTAAATTTCGTGGGTGTTATAAGAATTTTCTTTCCATTTTAAATCATAGCATCCTATTTCGCTTCGCTACACACTAAAGAAAAATTATTCCAAATTTACAAATGAGGGTGCATTTTTTATTAATTTAAATTAAATTCTTTATAAATTTAATTACTCCTTTCAACTTAAGGATAAATACATTTTATCATTTTTATTAAGGATATATAATTTTTATTATATATATGGGTTCTAAACTTGAACGAAACCTTGTAATTAAATTGAGGAATGGGATTCTGAATGAAACGAGAGACAGTGCGCACAATGCACACATTCAGGAAAACGTACGAAGCGCGCAGCTGTAAATCTCTTGGATATGGTTTTTACTAAGCCCACGACAACAAAAGGAGACAAGGATCTAAGACCACCTCGTATTATGGAGTTTGGAGGCTTATCATTGTGACCACTTCCACCATAGCGATGACAAGTGCCAATTCTCTTTCTTCTGTCTCGGAATTCATGTGACTTTGGGCAGGGATGAGGGTTCCACGACTTTAATTGCCCCTGCATCTGCATGTATGCAGCTCCCGCAAGACAATTCAACCAAAGCAACTTGTACCAAAACTCTCTCCTGCAAGATTCTCACGTTGCATTAATTACGTATACCAAAATGCTTCGTGCACAACGTTTTATGTACGTTACTTTTACAGCAGTAAATTTGTTTATTAACGGCTAAATCATTAGTATTTAAGAGTGTCCACAACTAGGTTGATTAATGGGCTAATAGTCAATTTTAAAGCATAAAAAAAACATTGGCTTGTAACTTTTAATTAATTATATCAAAGATAAAATTTTAATAAAATAATACAGTACCAAAACTCTGTCCATTATTCAAAAAACTATACCTAATAAAGTTTGTCCACTAACAGTGGTTCCGTATGCGTGGATCTCAGTTAACCAATGGATTTGTAACTTTTCTTTCGTGCGTACAACCCCGTGGACCTTAACTTAATTATTTATTTTCATGCAGCTTATCTTTCTGATCTCTGTCTCGCTTATCGTTGCATATTGTTGGTTGGTCCATGACACCCAAATTTATTAGTCCAGCCTGTCTACAAACTAGTTTGGTAGTGTTGCAAAATTGGACGTACTTAGTGAGATATCTTCCTATGTACTATTTTCTTTAATATATTGTGTATCTGTGAGTGTGCACTATCCAGAAATAATGAACAAGGATTGGTAATCGTTTTCATGTTTTGTCCTTTTACGTAGGAAATGAGTGAATCAGCTCTAGCTATTATTGCACATTGTTGCCGATGTTTCGCCTGTTTCCGCGTCTGTATCTCAAGCAGTAACTAGAGTATGTCTTGTATGTCCTCATTTCCATTGAATTTAATTATGTTCGCTATACCCTGAATATAAAAACATATATATAACACTCGATGTACGTTTAGTTACTTTACGTGTCGGGGGTACAGTTTCAAACTCTCTTCGCAGACCTTTATTCTTTATTTATATTATGTTTAATTTTGTTACACTATAAATGTAAATTTTTTTACACTCTCACATAATTAGAATACATAAAAAATATAATTTTTATATTACTTATTTTAGAAAATAACAATTCTTATTGATATCAGTGATATGTTAACACTGTCATTATATTTAAATTAAACTCTTTGTATTAATGGTCTATACGATGATTTATGAGTTGGAAACTTTAGGAACAGTTTATACGCATGGTATTACATTGTTTTATACACAAACTGAAGGTTGAAATAACTACATGTTGTGAGGGAAATTCAACTACCGAACCATAGTATAAACAAGGTTTTGAGATTAAAAGTGCATATAACAAAGTTAAACGATATACCAAACTCTTGACTATTTTACTATGGCAAGTAGGGAGAAAGTATGCAACAGTGTGATCCGAACCCTCGCTACACATGCTCTATGTAAAACTTTATCTCGAGGCAAACAACAATTTCAACAAACGGCGCTTTCATGTTAGGAATCTGACAGCACATTCAAAAGTAAAGAAAGCACGGCATTATCAAACTTTTCTATGGCAGGGCACCTAATTAAGTAACAGGTAAGAAATTTTATTACTCTTGAACAGCAACAGTCTTCAGCAGCAGCTTTAGTTTTAAATGCTTATCATTTGAATTGAAAATGCTACTATATATGTGACCATCTGGGACTGAAAACGCCACTCATGTCGCCATTATAATAAAGATGAAATACACTAGAGCTGAAAAAGAAGGAGAAAAAAAAAACAGAATAAAACTTTAGCAAAGGGTAAGAATTCTTATTATTTTAAAAAGAAAACAAGCCATTGTGGTCCCGATTCCCTCTGTGAAGTTGCAATCACTCCCAGGTACAAAAACAGAGATCTCAAAATGGGTCCGAAAAATATCTTTGATAAAGAAGTTTGAGTCATTGGGACCTTTCAACGTTTCAAATATTTTACAATATCACCAAATTTTCACAATTCAAATGCTCACTAACTTGTGGTGAAAATTAAAGAACTTGACACATTGATGAAAGAAGAAAACATACCCAAAAAAAAAAAGCAAAGGAAGAATGGTGCATGCAGGGATATAATACCGGGATTTCGCTATTCTTGCTTGCGCTGACCTGAACTCAGTTAAGAAAGAAAGAACATAAACAATGTATATAGGTGTCTAGTGATAATATATAAAAGTACTACATTTTATTTTCCAATAAAATTAGTTGCTTCACTATTACTATTATTATTCCTTTGCCATAAGCTAAGAGACAGAACCACACTTAACTACAAAACAGACACAAAAAAATTCAACCCTACAATTCAAAGTTACGTTTTGTCTTTTTGTTTGCTCTCTTAGGAAATTAAAAAAAAAATAAAAAATCCCATCTTATCTTCCATGCTTCCTTTTCACATCCAGCAGATTTAATGAAGGCCGTACCAAATTCACGTTACAGTGATTTGTCCATTAACTATGGATCTAACTCCTTTCTTTTCATTCTGACTCCATCACTATCTTTTCCTATTATTGTGTTCTCCACTTCTCCAAATTTTCACAATTCAAACGCTCTTGGATGGACCAGAGGATTAAATGTTATCTTCTTCAGTTTTGGTACTTCAGCATTGGTGAAAATGAGAAAACTGGACCGTGCAATTGTTGCCATAATCGGTGACTTTCCTTCTCTTCAAGTCCTGCTTTTGTATCATAGTGGAAGCAACGTTGATTCCGTTGGTTTTTTCACTTTCCATGCTCAGAAAATGCTCGTCTAACACATTAACCGGTGTATCTGAACTTGAATTCACATTGAACACAGATTCGTACTCCTCTCTTACTATGTCTTGTATGACATTATAACCCTGCATCACACTTTCCTGCAGTAATGATCATGCCCTCTATTATCAATAATAATAACCACTCATTTATCCGAGACAATTTATTAGGCTTGCATAAAAGGAAAAAAATGAAATATAATGAAAAGAATGAAAGAATGTATACTTTATTAACATAGGAACAATTGGATATTGCTCTTAAGAAGCATGGATATTGGAAGGGAAACAACTCATGTGAAGCATAAAGAAGGGATGAAGCAGCAACTATTGATGGCTTGAAATCCAAAACCTTTATCTCTGAAAAACAAAATGAAAGAAATATTATTTAAGTATAATTCAAGATTAATTAGCAATCAAATTAACTCATTTTGGTCATGTTGTTCAAGTCAACTAGGCATTGACTATACCTCTTTGTGACTTCAATATAATCTCAGATGTTCTATCTTTCAGAACCTTCTTCAATGTTGGGTCTTTGAGGCCGAACAGATTGATGAAAAAAGGAATGAAAGAGAAGGGGGTGATCGAACGCATTCGCCACTGAAGAGTCCCCAAGACGAGGGCTTCCATTCTTTGTATTGTTTGTGTCTCAAAAATGACAGTATCACCATGGTTTAGAAGAGCCTAGCAATAAGTAACATGAACTTCAGTGAATATTGAACACCAAACTCTCATAAATCATATTACTAAGAAGACGAAACACCTTACTTGGACATCAGTGGCAGAGTACTCTGTTTTCAACATCTTGGCAGCTAGAGAAAAGCAAGAGATTGCAAGGAGCTTGTTCGCCCATGGCTTTGGTTGCTGTTACATATATCCAATATGAGTTAGATCTTGAGGAATCATAATCTAATTGATAATATTCAATCTTGGTTAATATTCTTCAGATAACAACACTACTAATCATAGTCATCATTAATCAAACAGCGTAAAGTAAAATTCATTACCAAAATTCCTTGGTTAGCTAGGAAGCGATCTAAATAGTTGATAGCTAGGTAAGGAAGAACTGGATCGAAGGTGCAGGACAACTGCACAGAACAAACCAATTCAACCCACGTTAATTCAGACACAAACATCATTATTTCTAAACAATAACGTCGAAGGTTTTTCTTACCTGCGAGATAAAAGAGACGACATCTCTTCTAACAGAAATGTCAAAGTCTGTGGCTTTAAGAGACTGACAGTAATTCGGAGGTGGGATGTGGTCAGATTCAATGAGAAAGAGGGAAGGGACAGCGTCACAGGGCAGGTCGTGGAAGTTTCCAAGAGGGTTTTCAAGGTCAAACTCCATGGACAAGTGTTTTGTGATGTTGTTCTTAGTGGTGTTGAGAAGCAAGAAGAAGTAGAAGCATTGTAAAAGAGACTGTGGTGTGTGATAAGGTAAAGCCACAGAGAGTTTTCAGCTATCTTCAAATGAAAGCTACGAAGGAGTTTCAGTTCTTTTGGTTTTTCTAGCTCTATACCCTCTCTTTATTAGTGTTTTTGCGTGCGCGCACACACATCTCTCTCTCCTCCTTCTCTGTCTCTGATTGGCAAATAAAATATGGGAAATAGGGTTGGTTTGGTCCCTCACCTGTGCAGTGCTCGGGGTTGCATGAAATGAGAAAATGGCGCTACGCTAGTAGCTTATGCTGTGCCACAACACAACACTTAGTTGAGAAGGGTTAATAACCAAAAGTTCTGGTCAGCTCTGTTTTCCAGGTAGCTTGAGACTAAAATTTACCCCTTCCCTTCGTTTTTACCAGAATTAAATAACTAATTTATTAAAATTTAAAAATATATGTCGTAAATATATAATATATTTTCAAAATATTTATAATACTAAATAATTAAATTTTATAATTTATAAATTTAGTAAATGAATATATTACTTCCGTTCTTATTTATAAAAAATAAATATTTAATTCATTAAAATATATAAAATAATTATTTCTTATAAATAATTTTAAAACCAGTGTTTACTTATATAGGTTAAATTCATGATTTTTATATTTTATTTTAGTAAATTTTATTATCATGTCATAAATTTTTACAAACAAATATTAAATAAATATTTTTAGTCAACGAAAATTTTCAATAATACTCACCATTTTGGTAGAAGGCGTGCCTTCTGTCAGAGTAATAGCTAGCAATATTAAATAAAATGAGATTGCCTTGTATAGCTCTCGTGATAAATCCAGTAACACTACCGTGTAATAGAATAATATTTTACGAGTGCGTTTAAAGATACAATTTTTTAACGTGTGTCTAATTAATAAATTTTTATTAAAAATTATAAAATTTAATATTTGAAATTTATTAATAAAAATTTACCTATTGTGTTTTAAAACACATGCTAAAAAACAGTTAAAGATATAATAAATTTGTTTTAAAAATTATAAAATGTTAATTATATATTTTTTATTGTAAATCTTCCAATTATTACAAGTAACGGAGCATTGCGTTTCTTGTGATGCGAGTGATCAGTATTTCGAAAATCGTCGAATCAGAATTTTGAACAGAAAAACAAGTCGAATTCTTATGATAGGGACACGTTGGGCTTCGGTTTGGCATAGTTTATACGTGGACCATCATCATTACTAAATTCCACTTCATCCGAAGCCAATGCCTCTATTTGTTGAGAGAGTGAAGTGAGGCATAGAATGTCAATTTTTACCATTTCGGAAAGTAAAGAGGGATCACAATTGCATTTATTTAGACTCAACAGAAATTTGTAGAAAATATTTATAATTGGTGAAAGAATTAGTTATTAAATGAATATGAATTTCAGTGTAATTATTTTTAAAAATTACTCAAAATGAGTATCGGTTTATATTTTACTATTTGTCTCATCTCGAATTCATGTATTTTGAAATATGTTAAAGTCAAAGTAAATTTAATAAAATTACACAATTTGATATTTTTATTGTTATTTTAATTTTACAAATTATATATAATCAGTATTAATGTATAGTTTTACAAATGCTAGTTGTGAAAGTTAGGATTAAAATTAATTTTACAATATTAAAAAAGTTAAATTAATTAATACTTATAAAGTAAAAAGACTAATTTGATGTATTATTCCCCTTTTCAACTTCAGACAGTTGTAGAATTGTATGACAACTTATATCATAATTAAGATTTAAAGAATAGCTCAATGCTAATCTGTATGATGCGATAAAGAAAAACTCGGTTCTAATTAATTGAAGAAAGGGATTGGTGTTGCTGATTTAATTATTGATTCTTAACTAAATTTTATGAAATTGAACAGACAAGATTAATTGAAGGAATTTAATGGAAAATTAAGGTTAAAAAGTATTATTCAAATCAAGCTTAAATTAACATCTACCTATTTACATAAACTAGAAGCCTATCATAAATATAAAACAAATTTCATTTTGTGCTGAAATTCCGAATGTAGCTATAGCATTTCGCATGACATAACTCTCCACTTTCCTCAAGCTGAACCTTCAATTTTGTAATTATACATGTCTCCAAACTTAGTTCACCAATTACATGTTAGAGCAAGGAGTGCCATATGTGCTTAGTTTGAAAATTTGCAATTTACATCATTTTGCTTTCATCATGAACTGTGTCATAATATAGCAGGATAGATAATGTTTGAAATCCTTCCTTGCACGTTTTGAACCACAAAGTGTGTGAAACTGAGAAAAAAATAGGTAAGCTATTGAAAGAGATCATGTTTCTTATCCTAGGTTCATAACAGGCATATGTACCCACACCATTAAATAACCATTAAATAGTCGGGTAGATTTCTATAAATAAGTGCAACTGCTACAGTGGCGTGATGCTTCTCTTACAGCTGTGCAAACTTTAAATTACAAACCCTATTTTAACCCAAACATGAAACACGGGACCATCCTGTAAGAGCCTTAACCTACTTGTCCAACGTATACGACGTACATGTCTCTTTATGTACCTACCACTCAGTGTAATGCATACTAACTTAATTACTCTAATCCATGCATCCACATACAAATTATATACCTCCACACACGGACACACACACCCACACATATTTGGTGGTCACTAACTATAAGCATAACTTGCACTCATTATGAGAAAGGACACAATGCAACTTTAAAAACTTTCCTGTTAAAAAGAAGTGTCAAATAATTTCTGATAAGTACTTTTGTGTGTGTGTGTGTTGTGTCTTACTATATCTTTCTATGCGCTATTTTTCAATAATCGTCCTACTATTTTAAAAACGTATTAAATAAAAATGTGTTTATTTCTTATTTTTAAAAAACATTAGAGTTACTTAATATTCTTTGCTTAGTAATTAGAGGTAAAAAATTAAAAAATTATTTGTGTGTTTAAACTCTAATTTTGTGGGGTCCGTATTGGTGCTTCTCCCTTTTCAACAGGTTGTGGAGAAAGGGGTTGAAAGCAAACATCAAGTCCCACTCTGAACCCTGGAGCGCGAAAACGATCATATAGTCTAGTCATTGTTAAAGGGGAAAATGGCACAACCTACTACGGTTCTCAAATCAATAGCACCAACTTTTGAAACAATGAAACCGATTCATTTAAAACTTTGCCCCATCGCTTTGGGGACCTGACCTGAAACCACATGGAGGCACGCAGTTCCTTTTATTCACCCTTTTGCAAGGGACAACAATATAATACAAAAATAAAACTAATAAAACTTTATTCCTAGCTAGATCTTCAGCAACAAGAGACAATATTGAAACATCCTTGCCATAACGAAAGTCACGAGGACTTCATCTGATGGTTGGGAATTAAAATCTTTAGCTCTTCACTTTTTGCCCTTGAGTTATCGATCTAAGCAAAACTAGGGGCTCCTGAATTGTAAGCATAGACACCTGTCTCTGGGTCTGCCTTATCACCCTTATATTGGTCAAAGGACGAATATATCATCAATTTTTTGTTAGTATGATCGGGGGACATGTGCCATTAAGATGCAGGAAAACTTAGTTAGGGAGACTTCGGGATCTTGACTAACTTAATTTATAGGAATAATCTAAATTATCACACAAGATAAATAATTTTATGTTAAGTAAATTAACGAAATTAAGGTATTATATTGTTTTTCCATAAATGCCGTTTTATTAATCTATGTAAAATAGAATAACTTATAAATAATATTAATAAAGGAGATTAGATACCGGTGCTCTAGTCAAGTTAAATTTGTTATCTAACATTTCACAAATTCATTGAGCTTAGTGCTACAGTGTATAAGCATAGCATATCTCTAATGACAAGTAATTCATGTGATCTTTTCTAATATCCGGCGCAGTGATTTAAAAAGATAGTAATATTACAAAAAAGATGTTTTCCTCTCATCCTTTGATTTTTGGAAAATTAATTGTATCATTAAAATAGTGTTTCTTGAAAAATATTGAGCTGTTATGTTGGTATATAAAAATATTGAGCAGCTATATTTAAATCAAATATTGGGAAATTAAATAATAATTAAAACAATCAAATATACTGGGGGTGGAAAAAATGTTTTTAACAAAAATAAATAATTATCTTTCTAATATAAATTAAATTAAACTTGCTTAAATGTTTTAACTTACTTTTAGAAAAAGTATTGAACACTTTTATTTTTAGTAAGGTAAATATTGTTTTCAACAAATTTTTATAATTTAACTTCTTCTTCTTGTGTGTTTGCGCGCACAAAAAAAAAACTCTAAATAATTGTATTATTTTAATATTGACCACAGAAAAAATCACTTTATTCTATCTATCATTTCTTTCATTTGATGAAAGTTATTTTAAGTTAAGTAATTATTTTATATTTAAATTATTGATAATATTCAGACCACGTGACATCTGAATATCGATGGCCTTAGACAAAAAGATATTATTTTTTATTTAAAATAATTTTATGTATAAAAAATTACTAGCTAAATTAACTTGAACTAAAGATCTCGATAAACATACAAATAAAATAAATTAAACTTATTACATAAGTTAAAATTATTTTATATATCTCAATTTTTTAGAAGCTTATCTAACTTATCTATACGAACATATAAACTTGTCATGATTTTTTTTTCGTCTTAAAGCAGTTTAACAATTGAGTTTTATAATTGATAAACTTCCATACATAAAAGCTAATATAAAAGGGAGCTTATGAGAAAATATTAATAATTAAAAGAGACCAAAATATATTAAAATATTATTTTTAATTACAAATAGAAAAAAATAATTAACCCATCACAGGAAAATTTATTATATCTTTCATAAATTTGTGAAGCTTTATGCACGCATGCACAATTTTTTTTAAAGAATGTGACATTGTTATAATTTTTAAATAATTTTGTTGATATACTTCTTTTGGATTAATTTTAAATAATTAAGAGTAAATATTTCTAATTAAAAATAAAAAATCACTAAAATTTAATTTTAAAGAGCTGTTTTAACATCTCGTTTTAAAATGAGAAAGAAAAAAGTTGCAGTTGTACACAAACCTATTATTTTATTCGTATTTAAAAAGTATGAGTAAAAATATACGTACAAAGAACTACTTAGCATCAATAAATCTCAATCAAATTAAGCATAGAAATACAGAGGAAAAGTAGGCAGGACCTCATTGTCCATGAAGGGTTCACTGGCTCTCCAAAGTTTTCTTAAAATTTGAAACTTTGCATGTTAAATGAAATAAAATACTTAGATTTTAATTTTGATTTGGCCATAACCATGTGTATAGCCTTTCCATTTGGTCCCTCCAACAAACTTGGCCTATCTCCACCACTCCAGATAAGTTTTAATTAATGTGATAAGATAATTGAGTTGTGAGACAAAAAGCTTTGGTACATTGCAAAATGCAAAATGGCTTTTCAAGTGTTTCATCACTTCGAAACCACTTTGAAGAACGTTCTATGTGTTTGGGGTTGCTTCAAGTTTGCTCTATCTCTCTGCTACAAATATACATATTTTTGCGGAGTACTCCTTTTGCTTTCCTTGTTGGGTGTTATCTTCTTTGACGAAAACCACAGATTCTCTTTCGCTGCCTTGATGCAAGAGAAAGTGTAAAGAGACCCATCATTTTTTTTCCTTGTTGAAAGACTAGTACTTGTTTCTTTTCTCTTTTCCTTTCTTTCACTGTCTTTGAATTATAAATACATGTTTAAGAGTAATCAATAAAAATTTTAATAATTTTAAAATTTTAATTCTTTATATTTAAAAATTATTTTAATTATTAAATAAAAATAAATATTTTTAAAATGATATTGATACATACTTTTTTATTTAGTGCTTACTTTATAAAGCAATTTTTTTTAAAAAAGTTAGTTAAAAGGTATTACAAAACTTTAAAAATATATACCTCTTTTGATATATTTAACAAATTTTTAATCAAATTATACAGATCAAAATAATTGTTAAAATTAGTTAATGAATTGTTTTTTTTAAATAATTATAATTTCAAGTTTAAGTTAATGAAAGTTAAATTTTATATTAGAATAATTATAAAAATAAAAAAAAATCTATAATCAAAACTAAATATGTGAAAAAATTAATAAATATTTCTAAAATTTTGTAAATAATCTTATATAAAAATTTATAATATTTAATATAATTTTTAAAAGTTTTTAGAGATACATTAAAAAATTATATATATATATATATATATATAGAGAGAGAGAGAGAGAGAGAGAGAGGTTGATAAATTTTGGAGAAGTGCTGTAATTTAACCGGGGAAAGATTGCATTTGCAAGCTTAAAACCAAAGTACTTTATTATCCTAAAAATGAAGCAGAAAACAAAAACAGACATGGGTAGTGAGAGAGCGCCGAGAGATGGAGAAGCGTATGATGAGTAGATGAGCGCATGTGGCACGCCATACCTCCCATGCAGATAACAGCATCATTCTATGCTTTGCGTTTGCAATAGACAAGGAAGTGGGGCCATTACCTATCTACTTGGGACAAACTATAAAATATACACAAGGAAGGGCATTGGCATCGTAATCTACCTGCGAGAGAAAGCATTATGTAGGCATAGGTTATGAGGTTTCATCATTTCATTTTCTTTCACCATTTTTCACTCAAAACTGTAGCCTAAAGTTAGGCAAGTTCCAGTAGTTTTGCGTTCTTGCCTCCCCTCACGTCAAGATGAAGTAAGAAAAGACCCACTCTTATTTTTGGTGTGCATTGCCTACTCGGTAATTGTATCCAGATATTATCTAAAGTGTAACTAATTAAATTCTTTTTTTATATTTAATTAAAGTGTAAATCAAAATTATAATTGATGATATAACGATTCTGAAAAATCTTATATTCAGCGTTGGATTAACCATCATTAATGTAAAATATATCTAACGAAAATTGTTATTAAATATAGAGTTAAAACAAGTGTTTGTATATTATAATACATCATTTGAAAAAGGTTTATATATTGATAATTTTTTTATAGATAAAAATTAACAAAGATAATCTTAGTATTTGAAAAATTGGCCGTTAATAAACAAGTTTTTATTATATAATTTATAAATTATTGTTTAGTTGCTTAGAATAGTGAGACTTAAATGAGTGTCTGCCTGCCTGTCAGGCACATAAAAATGAAAATCAGTCAAAAGTTGGTATGAAAGTTTTTTTATAAAACACCTAACTCTTTTATTTTTGTCAATTAAATACCAAAGTCTTAAAATCTATTCATATAATATTTGAAGTGGATTTAGACAAACGAGTCCACTTTCTGCGTGGTATTGTGAGTCTTACCCAAAGACTTTCCTTTTTGGTCAAACCCGAAGAGATTGTTTGATTATGGCCTAAAAGTCCTTTGGGCCCTCTCAGTATTCTTTTGTTCAAATTGCAGCAAAAACCATTAACTCCCAAGTACTTGAGATAAGGCCAGGAACCCAAATAGGGACTAAGTCCATGTCCAGGAGAAGAAGAAAAAGGCCTTAATCCTAAACAAGAAGAAATTTCAAGCGGGCCCGTAATGACCCAAAAACAGAAGAAAAGGTTGTTGATTGGCTAAAGAACTTGTGGCTATGTGGCACCTACGTGGCCTTGGCACCTTATCCAGCATTTGTTGTGTTGACAGTTGTGGTGGCCGTTCAACTGGACACCATCATTTACATCTCTCTATCCACTCATTCTCAAACTCACAATTTTCATCATCAACAAGTGTTTGTATAATCATGGCATCCTCAACTCTATCCCCTGCAACCCCTTCCCAGGTATTCAAAAACATGTTTTTAACTCTTTCTTTTCTCTATAATGCCTAGCTACTTTTGAGTTTTGAGTGAACTGTGTTTTGTCATTTCAGCTATGCTCCGGAAAGAGTGCGATTTTCTGTCCCTCACAGGCACTTGCTGTGAAACCAATAAGGACCCAAACGATGGGTAAGGCCAAGGGAATGAGAATTGCATGCCAAGCCACTAGCATTCCTGCTGATCGAGTCCCAGACATGGGGAAAAGACAGACCATGAATTTGCTTCTTCTTGGAGCTATTTCACTCCCTACTGCTGCAATGCTTGTTCCCTATGCCTCCTTCTTTGTCCCTCCTGGGTTGGTGTCTTCTTTCTCCCATTCTTCTTCTTCTCCATTCTTGTTTTGGGAATTGAACTAGTATTTTAACCTGTTTGTGAATTGGGTTTTGTTTAGAAGCTCGTGTGTAAGTATTAAACAACATTAATTCACTTGTTTTTTTCTTTTGGGGTAGGGTGGTGGCGGGAGTGAATTATTATTGTTGATCCTATATTGACTTGTTCAATTGTGGGAATTGGCTTATATTTTTAATCAAATCCAGTATAGGTTTAGGATCTTCTCTATTTTTAGTAGACCTCTTGTCCTTCGATGTTTTCATTTATATACTAACATTTCAATAAACAAAAGGATATAATCAGCTTTACCTTATAACAAGGGTTTCCTAACAGAAGCTGGAAATTTTATTTGTAATGATAAGAATATTTTAGATTAAAATCACTAAAATAAAAGTGACAATAAACATATGAGAGTGACACTAAACACTCCCATACTTCAGGCTAATTCTTATATCTTAATTTTGGTTATAACTATAATGATTTTTATAGTGAGAGGGAAAGAAACCATACATTTTTAAATTTGCACATTCCTAGTAGCATCGGGGGAGGAGTATCGAATTGATTGTTTCTTACTGTTAGGAAATTGGCCTTAATTCTGAAGTTTTGCTTCTTCGTCACATTAGCTTAAAGCTATGCTTTGCACACAAACTATCAGTATCGGTTGATTCAAAGGTGTACATAGAATGTATTAGAAAAAAGGTGTACATATAAAATTGCTACAAGGGCAATAAAATCTATCATATTGCTCATTTCCTACACCATTTACTTTTAGCATCCAAAAATTTGATAATTAACTGTTGACCTGCCAATGTGCTGTTTATTATGATTATTCAATTCCAGATTCTTCTTCTACCCATATCATTAACCTGAATAGGAAAAACATTTCAGGTCAGGTTCTACAACTGGTGGTACCGTTGCCAAGGATGCCGTGGGAAATGATGTAGTTGCAGAGGAATGGCTCAAGACTCATGGGCCCGGGGACCGGACTCTTGCACAAGGATTGAAGGTAAGTGTACATCTGTTTAGTGTTAGTGTTCTCATAGATATATTCAACAAGTTGCAAATGCTTTGCATTTAATATTGAAAGCAATAGCATCCTGGACTCGGCTTCAATAAGGCTTTGTTTTCCAATTCTTATACCAATTTTATTTTACTACACTAAACCATTTCATTCAGTGACGTATAAACAGAAATTTAAATTGTAATTCTAGCTGTAGAAACCTAAGGTTTGGCCTTGTAGAAGTGAAAATGATTTCCTTCTCATCTTCTAACCAAAATGATTACTTTTAGTTTTCATAGTTCCATAATTTGAATCCCACCCTCCTTTCTTACAGGGAGATCCTACCTACCTTGTGGTGGAGAAAGACCGAACACTTGCAACATATGCGATTAACGCCGTGTGCACCCACCTCGGCTGCGTTGTGCCGTGGAATCAAGCCGAGAACAAGTTCATTTGCCCTTGCCACGGATCTCAGTACAATGACCAGGGAAGAGTTGTGAGAGGACCTGCCCCATTGGTAAGCAAATTGGAAAACCTCGTCTTTTGAGAAATTTGTTTAGCTGCAGGTATTTTGACTTAGAAGGATTGTATGATTAGTTTCTTTACGACCCTATAGAGTTTAAATTTCAATCTTTGCTTCATTTATCTGTTGCTCGCATAGTAATGAATATTTTTATTCTTGTTGGGCAGTCTCTGGCATTGGCACATTGTGATATAGATGATGGGAAGGTAGTGTTTGTTCCTTGGGTTGAAACAGACTTCAGAACAGGTGATGCTCCATGGTGGGCTTAGACTTCCGAAAGCCGTCCTTCTACTGTCATATATATATATATTTAAATCTGAACTTCAAACAATCTGTTTTGTATCAATGCATAAACACTTAATGGATATTTTTTTAGTAGTAATCAAATTAATATTTTGTGAATCGAATTTGGTATAACATGAAAAGGAATCTGATCAGGTTACTTGTTTTCCTTGTAATTTTTCACTATCACCTTAGCTTTATTGCTTTTTTTTTTTCTTCATTTAATGCAAGAGATAGTATTGGCAAGCATACTAACCTTTCATTTTAATAATAAAGAGGGAGATTGTCGTATCCGCGTGGATTGATAAATAAATTGATAATTTTTATTATCTTAATTAAAATACTTACTAACAATCATTAACAATTATAAAGATGTTTGTAGATAATAATTTTGTGAAATTTAGATTATGAAATTGATTAAAATACAAAAATAAACATTAGGGTTTAAATTACAAGAATTTAAAATTGAGATTAAACTTCATCACTCATCTTCCTTTATATTTTAATGATAAAATATATAGAAAATATTTTATAGAAGCATATGTAATTTCTCAATATTTATATATATTAATTCTTCAAATAAAAGATTTTTAAAAGAATTTTTTGAATAATAATTTTTCATTTATTCAATAAATAATTTAGCATTAAAGACAAGAGTTAAAAAATAATCGATATATTAAAATATATTCTTAATATTACAACATATTTAGTGAATTTTATTTAATTCGATTTTAATTATTATTTTTCAATTAAATATTATATCTTAAATTAAAATATTACCAATTAAAATAAAAATAGAATCAATCATTAAAATAGAATGAAATTAACCACAAACTTTTATAGAAATGAATATATATATATACATATATATATATATATATATATATAATTTAATATTTTATAGTATCTATTACAACTAAAGAAAAAAAAAACAGTTTCTCAATATCTTTTTGTTTGATTTTTTTTAAAAAAAATTAATGAATTCTCGTTCAAACAAAAAAGTCTTACTTAAGTTAAAAAGATATTATCGTTCAAATATATTTTTTGCTAAAACAAAAGTTTTACTTGAGTGAAAATGGATAATAGTCATTACTTTTAATCTCATTTACCTTTCATTTTTATTAAATTCTTATAAATTAAGAAATTTAATAAAAAGAAATTAAGAAAAATTCAAAATTTGCTAAGTAAAAAAATTTAAAATTTAAATAAAATTTATATTATAATTTGTTGTTGACAAAAGGCTCTGGTCTCAAAGCTGTTGTAATTCAAAATTATGTATTGAGAGAACCACTTTGTCAAAGCACTCCATGAATGCTCTAAGTGTTTTTCTTTTTTTCTAACAAATGTTAACCAATGCTAGAGATGTTAAAGGATGGAGGCGGCTTGTAGCGAATTGTAAACTGAATCGCTTGGTAAACGTCGCAAACGAATCAATAAACGAGGAGGGTAATTTAGTAAACCAGCTGAGGGCTGGCCCTCGAAGTGAAGTAGAAAATATTATGCATAATAAAGCGTCATCCTCTGTGTACAAACCAACTTGGATTGTAAAGATATCTAAGTGTTCCCTGGGGTCAGATGTTCTATCATACTTCTCTAGTGTTAGACCTCTCCAGTTTTTGAGTAATTTGGCTTCCAGAATAAGCTGGATAAAAAGGCTTCAACTTGAAGTATTGTCCCGTTCAATAGGGTTTTATCTTGTTGGCATACTCTTGGTTTTTCCTGTAGGGCCGAGGACTCTCCCTGCTCTTGAGCAAAGGGCGAAGTTTGAGAAGGTATGTAAATTCTGATTTCCTCCCTCAAATTGGCATTCTTCTTTCTTAATAACGACAGCTCGATAGCACCTCTTTCTCTCAACCTTTACATTTTCATCATTTCAGGGATCGGTTAGTTAAGTGTAACATCCTCTTGCTATCGAGAGGTTCCTCTTTGCTGATTTTGTCATTCCTTGAGAATATCCTTCTTCTGCAAGATGGGATGATGTCCTCCTAGATACTGTGAATCTTCCTTTTTCTAGTGTAGGAGGTTTTGGGAGAACGAAATGTTGGAAGTAATATGAAGTGTGAAGAAGAAGTTTCACATTGAATGAGAATTGACAAATGAACATCTAAATTCACTTACATAATACATTTTATAAGATTTCGAATTTGATTTGGTGAAAATCCATTTGCTTGATTCTTGCTTGGTCTATTGTTAAAGATATCCTCAATGTTTCCAACTCCTTTCATAACCCAACAGTAATCCATAAAAATCCTAGAATTTGGAGGTGGGGGATGATGTGTTCTATCATGCACTATGCTAAGTTTGGTGAATTGATGCTTATTATTATTATTATTAGGTTTCCAATTTGAGAAATTTGTGTTTAATTATACTTAGACTTCATAATTTTATTAATTATATCAACAAATACTGAGACAAATTAAGTTTTTAACACTTACTCCAACTCACTCCATGTTAAACTTTAAAAGCACAATCTAAAAGTATATTTGATTACTGTTTTGAAAATAATTTTATATTATAAAAAATATATTCTAGTACAAATTTGTATTAAAATTTATTTTTAAAATTAAAAAACTGTTTTCAAAACAGTAATCAAACACACACTAATTCCTTTTTTTTTTGTCCTTTTTAACCTTACTTTTATTACCATTTGAGAGTTATAAAATAAAAATTATAACTTGATACTTTTAAATATATTTTGCTTCTCTGTACTTATTTATCTATTTATATATGATATAAAATTTCTTATGAAAATTGTTACATGATGTTTTAAATCTTTTTATTCTATTCAAATTATTTCAATCTGTTACCTCATTTTACTTTCTTTGGCTTGATTGTTCTACTAATTTTTATATTTTAATTTATATATAAGTTTAGCTTCTCTAATTTTAAGTATTTATATTTGTTTTTTTATAGTTTTTGAATTATTAAAATTAAATTTTCATTCTAAAATAAATTCAATAAGTAATAAAAATGTATGATTCATTGATTTATATAGATTAATAAAAAATATTAAAAGTTTAAATAAACATAAAAACAAAAACAAAAAAAGTGGCTTTGGATTGCACATTTTGGGCTTTTTTTTTTTTCTATTAATTACCATTGTTTAATAATTATTTTTATACACCTTCATTAATATAGTAGAATGCTTAAATCCAATCAATAATTAGTTTTATTTAGAATTGTTAAAATGCGACAATCAAGTTGGGCTGACTTGTTTAAGTTTGCTAAATGATAGAGTTTAAGATTTAAATATTAGGTTCTAATTAGTTTAAGAATTTTTGCCTTGACAAATTCATTTTTTTTTTATTATGATTGTCAAATTCCATTAACTCAGTATGAAATCGAAGTTCAAGCTGGACTTGAATTTTTATTTCAAAACTTGAATTAAAAATATACTTTTTTTACCTTAACTGATCAGACTCAAAGTAAGAAATGGACGACTCGGATATATATATTATATTAAAATAAAAAATAATTTGATATTTTTATGTTAATAAATTAAAAGCATTAAATGAAAAATATTAAAAAAATCTTATTCACTTTTATAGAAACTATTTATAATTTTAAATTATTTTAATAAATTATATGAATAAGATGATAAAGAGGTTTTTATTGAATAAGAACTCATTAAATAAATATTTAATAAAATTATTTGCCTAAATATTTAATTATTTTTTTCTGTGTCACTTTAAAATTTTGACTAAAGAACGAAAATGAGTTTAATGTTCTCGTTTTTTTAATTTAAATTACCATATGATTTATTGTTCGGTATTTTTTTTATCTTTTTATTAATTAATTATTTTTTATTTTAACTTAAGAATATGTTTAATAAAAAATATTATATTAAATATAAAAAATGAAAGATAAGAAAAAAAATCTTAAGAAAAATGATAGATAAATACAAATACCTTGCATGTTTGATGAGTTTATTTTGAAAGTACGGGGACCAATCCATTTGCCCATATAATTTCAAAAAATAAATAAATTATTTTAAGGGATAAAAATAATAATTTTGGGTCACTCGTCAACTGTCCTTTTTGTTATAAAATAGGAATAAAACAATTTATATGTATAAATCTATGATATATATGTTTATGAGTAGTTGATATATAATATTATTATTATTAATCACGGCGTAGACACGCTAGCACCAGCAAATCCGTTGGTAGATATAGAGATATATAGACGGAACGAAAGAGTAGCTGCCTCTCTGACGGCGGATTCAACGCAAATCGTGTGAACACACACAAATCACCAACGGTTGGATTCATATTGTGTGAAAGGACAATTTGTTATGATTATCCACGTAAGGATAATATACAAAGCACAACCGTAGAAACATATTTTTTGTTTATTATTAAAAATTTAAATAAAAATTATTAAGTAAAAAATAAAATTTACCCAATCCTTATAATTTTAATTGATAATAATAAAAAAAATTTGAAAGTGTGGCGCTATCAGTCATTTCACTTTTATCTGTTTCATCTTTGACTACAGCTTTCCACTAGCAACGCCAACGGCCACGCGATTAATAAATCTAAGATTCTGGTTCCCCCTTCCTTTCAGCCATTTTCCCCCTTCTTCTTCTCTGCTCCGCTTGGCCACCTTGCAGTAATATACTCCTAAATCCTAATATAGTAAGTTCTCCCTCACTTCAATATTTTCTTCTTCCTCCACTCAATTCAGTTTTGAATGCTATGCTGCGTCCCTTCATTTTTCCTTAACAAATGCATATTTATATTTTTGTGTTGTGAACATTCCAACAATATTAAGAATCATTTAACATTCTTTATTTTTTTTATCTCTCTTTTCGGGCTGTTACCTTGCATAAAGAATTTTTGTATGTTGGCTTATTCATCGATCATCGCTTAAGTTGGAACAGTAGCATTAGCTGTAAATTGCCAAATGCCAACGCTTGAGAAGATTATTTATTGTTAGTTTCAACGACTGCCCTGTGCAGAAATTATAATATACTGATGAATATTGAGAAATGGTGTGCGGTGGTCTTATTCTTAAACCTTAATGATCTCATAAAAGAAACACATGCTTTGACTTTAACTACTACAATTTGTAGATCAGTAGATGTTATTCCTTACAGTGTTGCTACTATTACAAAGGCTTCGTAATTTTGTTAAATAATATTTATTCAAATGAATAAGATTTTATTATTGGTTAAAAAACAGACATTATATTTTTTAACATCTTTAATATATTAAATACCCAATATTTTATTTTTAATTTTTTAATCATTATTGCAAAGATAAATTCCCAACTTTTATAAATGCAGGCAATTTTTTTTTTCTTTCGGGGGTGATTAGAATTATTTGAGTGGCACACGGCACGAAAAGGATTTAAAAAATAATAGAAGTGCCCAAGTGTGGCTTCGTATGGTTACAAATCGTTAAATAGATTATGTATAGTTGTACACATTGAAGCCTTCTATATGTTGCTCTGTTATCTACTTTCTTGTAGAATTTGATTAAAAAGAAGCATCCACCGTAAGCATGTTCAACAGTGAGCTTCCACGAGTTGAGGTTTGTGCCAGGATCTATTACTACTCTAGCTTAGAAAAATAAACTAAATTATACTTAAATTTTCATTTTTTTGGAATTGAATAGGGAAAATATGCTGCAGTTGTGGTCTGCTGGCTTCTTGGCATAGGATGTCTTTTGTCATGGAACAGTATGTTGACAATAGAAGATTACTACATGGAATTGTTTCCGGTAAGTCATGTATATTTTTCATGCACTTTTCTATTTGACCTCATTCAAATGGTGTGGTTGTTTGAGACCCTTTTTTCAATCTATTATCTTATTCTTAGATGTTGTAATTGCTTTATAATAGAATTCACTTGGTATAAAAATAGTCTTAATTTATTTTCTCCTTGTGCAGAAATACCACCCCTCTAGGGTGCTCACTCTTGTATATCAGCCATTTGCTGTTGGAACACTTGCAATACTGGCTTATAATGAGGCAAAACTCAATACAAGAATGAGGATTCTGTTTGGATATATTCTTTTTTTCATAAGCACTTTGTTGGTGTTAATTGTAAGTCCAATCTGCTTGTTTGTGAACACTGAATCCTGTAGGATGGTTTTGATTTTATTTTTCCTACCATTCAGTTGAATTTAGCAACATCTGGTAAAGGAGGACTTGGACTTTTCATTGGTATATGTGCAATTAGTGGTGCTTTTGGAGTTGCAGATGCTCATGCTCAAGCAGGATTGGTAGGAGACCTGTCCTACATGCAACCAGAATTCATTCAGGTCAGCATCAGTGACATAATCAGCATGAAATTATTAAGGATACATTCAGCTTATGAATTTATTCAATGTGTTTTTTGTTTTGTTGTAGTCTTTCCTTACTGGTTTGGCAGCATCCGGTGCATTAACCTCTGCTTTGAGGTTAATCACAAAGGCAGCATTTGAGAATTCTAAGGATGGTCTTCGCAAGGGAGCAAGTAGGTTCAACAACTTCTTGTTTGTTTTTCTTATTTCTAAATTGATTATGCTTATGTGGTTTATTGAAGATCAATAGTTGTTATACAATTGCTTCCTCTATCATTGCTTACGTTTCCCTCACTCCCAATACTATTTTGTTATTGATCACTTGCTATTCTGTACTGTCTTTGCAGTTCTATTCTTTGCCATATCAACATTTTTTGAGCTTCTTTGTGTTCTTCTCTATGCATATATTTTTCCTAAACTACCAATTGTGAAGTACTACCGCTCAAAGGCAGCATCAGAAGGATCCAAAACTGTTTCAGCTGACCTTGCAGCTGGTGGCATTCGGACACTACCTGGAGGAGTACTGTTTCTTTGGTCTCTTTTACTTTCCATTGATTCCCAAAACTTTTTCGTTGTTCAAGATTCAGCTCATGGGATAAGGATTTTTTTTCAGGACAGTGAATATACAAAGGAACCTGAGAGAAAAGGAAACAAGCAATTGTTATTGGAAAACATCGATTATGCACTTGATATGTCCCTAATCTATGTGTTAACACTCTCTATTTTCCCCGGTTTCCTGTCAGAAGATACTGGATCACATAGTTTGGGCACTTGGTATGTTCATTATAACACAACTTGTTTTCTTTCCATGTTCTAGCTTCTCTACATGCACAAGCTCATCCATCCAATTTCCTATTCCATTATGACTAGACACAAAACTATAGGCCAAGATATGTATTTTGTGATTATTAGATGCACCACTGTAATGTAACGGTTGATATGTCCAATAATTGTTTCAGGTATGCTCTCGTTTTAATTGCAATGTATAATGTGTGGGATCTGATAGGAAGATACATTCCAGTCTTGAAATTCTTGAAGTTGGAGTCCCGAAAGTTGATCACAGTAGCAATTCTTAGTCGTTTTTTACTTGTTCCAGCATTTTATTTCACTGCAAAGTATGGTGATCAAGGTTGGATGATAATGTTAACGTCCTTCTTGGGACTATCCAATGGTTACCTCACTGTGTGTGTTCTAACAGCTGCACCAAAAGGTTACAAGGTGAGTCTATTAAGTGATAAATATAGCCAGAAGACTTCAGTGTCTTAGTGTCTTAGAATTCAAGTTGAGAAACACATTAATTTTGTGTTTGACTTTTTGTAGGGTCCAGAACAAAATGCCTTGGGAAACCTATTGGTTTTGTTTCTTGTTGGAGGGATTTTTGCTGGGGTCACACTTGATTGGCTGTGGTTAATTGGTAAAGGGTGGTGAGATCTCACTTGGGCAGAGTAAAGGTTCTGAGGCAAAAGAATGAAGTGTTACATGGTTTAAAGAATGTTCTTTTGCTACTTCAAAATAATGAATGGTTAATTAATGAAAACTTGTGAACTTCAGCGTTTAAAATTGAATTTAAACTTTTAAAATAATAAATTTATATATTTTTTTGGAAAAATTTACTATTTTTAAACCTTTTAACTTGGTTCTAAAATTCCTAGTTAATTTTAGTTTATCGTTTGTTGTAATCTAACATTTGATAAAAAGTAGTTTTCTCATAGGGAGCCCCCGCATCCAACATCTGATGAAATGACATTCTCTCTGTTCTTTTGGCATATTTAAATTTGATCTACATTTTGGGCCGGATATATAGCCTCAAATCTATTTTTCGTCGATAAGTATAATTTCCAGCGTTTGCAAACCAATTCATTCCACAAAAAAAAAAAAAAGGAAAAATAAAACTTAATAAGTGAAATATAAGAAAATATCTCTTATTGTTAACTTATAAAAAAAATATGGAAGTTACAACAATATACCAATTTTTGGAATTGCCATTTTTGTTCTATCAAAGATGAATTGTTTTTTGGACCAAGAAAAATGATGAATTTTTTTCGTTTATGTTAATGATATCCATCATTGATTGCTTACAATTGATTTTTGAAAAGATAAAGTGAAAGTCAAAAAAATTTAGGACTTGTTTGTTCTGTTTTTTAATTTTTAAAAATTATATTTTAAAAAATTATTTTTTGAAAAACTAAAAAAAAAACTTATGTAGACTTTTTTATTTAAATAATACCTTTTTAAAAATAGAATTTTTTAAAACTAATTTTGTGTTTTTTTTAAGTCAACGACAATATTGTCTATGTATAAATGATAATAAATTATTATTATTATTTTAATATATTATCGTTCTAGTATATTTAATATTATACCAAAAATTACATATATTAAAATTATATATATATATATCAAAATGAAACGATAATAAATTATTATTTTAATATATTATCGTGATATATTATATAATAATCGTATTTTTTATTATTATTTTAAAAATCTATCTCTCAAACCATCTTATACTTATTTTTTATTTTAACAAGATAACCATAACTACTGTCTTGGGATGGAAACAGTGTGATTAGTTCGGCGAAAAAAATGGGATATTTGAAATCTGGATCAATTCTAATACGAATTGAGCAAATACTAGAATTTATAACATGAATTAAGGTGGGCCAATTAGCATTTAAATAACTTAGAAACAAATAGTACCGGTTATATCCCCAATCATCATGGTAATAATCCTAAGTAAAAACATGAAATAAGGTAATAGAAAAAATGTAACTTATTTCCTTCACCTGCACAATTTCGACGTTCGGGAATTTGAGGATAGATTTTTAAAATATGAGTATGGATAGTTGAGACGATAGGTTTTTAAAATAATAATAAAAATAAGTATTAATGATTTAAATTTGATCTAAATTTCAGCTCCCTCTCACTTATAAGGTCTATTATTAGATTAAAAACAAAAAGCCAGTTTCAATGTAAACAGTCACTCCAAATCGATGCCAATATATGCATAATGCATCACCGTTATAAAGACACACCATCCGATTCGGCCCGTTTGTACTGTGCATTTTGTTCCAATATTTATAGGTCGAAGTGTAAAAATTTGTGGGCAATTACTGCAATACACAACCTTTAAACCCAATTCTAGTTGGATAACATTTCCATTTGGGTTTTGTTCAGTTTATGTCTAATCCATTTGGTTTCACTAACTGGGCTTAAATGAATGCTTCTAGATACTATTTCTCTTATGTTCCGCCTTCACCTTCTTATGCATCTTGTATAAGCAACAATTGTTCATTGATTATATAAATTAGACCACTCTTACAGGATAACTCGAGTGGTGAGAGCTTGGAAGATGAATGCAAAATATCATATTTAGATTCCTGACACTTGAAAATTCCCCCATCCCCCTCTCCCCTAATGGCAAAAAATAAATTATATATATATAAAAGTTATTGACTGATAGAAATTTTTTTAAATTATTTTTAGAGAGGAAAAAAAAAGAATTTGAAAAATCAACAAAGATATATATAAAAAAAATGAATCGTTGATAATAAAATTTCAAATTAGAAAAACTAAAAAATATGAACCTAAAAAAATTTATAAAATTTGTTCCTCTTATTTAAAAAATTTCAAAAAAAATAATAATCATCACATAAGTCTTTTCTTATATCTCATTTCTTTCAAAATTTAACTCTCAAACAAAGTTTAAATCTATTATCATTTTAATAATAATAATTTATTTTTTAATATTTGTTTTACGTGGAATTTTGTTACAGTACTTTCAAAATATTAGCTAAAAAAAAAACTAAATAATTTTTTATTAAAAATCATATTAAATTTCATTAAAAAAATTAATAACTATGTATCTAAGATAAACTCTAAAAGCTGATGCATTTTTCATCTTTTAGATACGATTCATCACATCACATTCATTCCATTCCATGCATCTTTCACTTCTTTTTCTCAGTAAACGTGTACAGCTTGAAGGGACGGTAAGAAAATATTCTTCCCCAAAACAAAAGGAATGACGAACAAGACTAAACGAAGGGAAAAGGGACACATGAGAAAGGAATTGCAAAATCGAATTTCATTCCTGGGGGCACTTGCAGCATGTGCGGACAAAAAGGTTATTGTGGTCCAAAATTTACATTGGGAAAAGACAAAAAAGACTTGCTTACATGTTTTTGTCCAATAGCATCACGTGATACCCAACGGTTACACGTTCCTAAGGAACCGAGGCAAACACGCAGCAAAGAGTGCAACAAGTGGGACCCCCTTCACTTAGAAGCATAAAGAATCAGAATGATCACAAGCGCAGTCCAAAACAACGTCAACGGCGAAGATGAAGCCTGGCTAAGGCTCTTCTCGAACTGCAGCGAATTAACGGCCAAGGGCATGTTCTCCTGATCCGGACTACACTTCGATTCGTGAGGATGAGCACTGTACATTACTGCTCGCAACACCGCCGAAACGGTTGGTATGTACGCCGTTTTGTTCCTTCCTAAAAGCCACGTCAGCGCCATTAGCTGGCAGTCCCGGTTGAATATCTTCCTAGCCCTGTCACTCTCATCCTCCTTCTTGTGCCCTTTTATCTGTGTATTCAAAACAGCAAATTATCAAAAACCAAAATTGCCTTAGACCCAACTGTAGCCAATGTAAATGTAAAAGTTAATTTAATGCATAATCCCATTGCTACTTGCTAGACTAGACCTAGGTTCTACATGTACGCGCCCACCATAACTGGCAATGCCACACGCACATGGCAGTGTCATTTTCGCATGTCAATCCATTATTAAGAAGAATTGGTTGGCTTTGGAAAAAAAAAACACACTAGCATACTTCCGGCCAATTAATTAGACCCACATTGGTATATCCTTAACTTTAATTTCGATATTTTTAATGTAGTTCGAGCATGTGTCAAAAAGTTAAAAATTAAAATATTTATTATTTAATAAATGATTTTGTAAAATAATTTTAAATATTAAATATAATATACTTAATGTGCCTTACGCACTTTAGAAAAATGGTTTTAATTTTAACATTAGATGAAAATGGGTAACCTTTTGTAGGGCGCCAAGGCATTGGGTGCAACCAGCATAAGAAGCGTTACGGCAATTCTTCTCCAAGTTTCGAACAGCAGCGGTAGGGGTAGCGTTGTGAGCGCCAGAAGCGTTTCGAAACGCGGTGTCGTTAAACGCGTTAGGGCAACTGAGGGAGCTTAATTGGTGGAGCCTGATGCCGCAGAAACAGAGTATGGCGTCGCAGCTCGCGTTCGGCTGCGGGATTCGAATGCTCCGATTCCGAAGCGAGTCAAGGAGCGAGTTCACGCACTTCTGCGAATCGTCCGGCATCATGGGAAGGTCGGCGGAGGCTGGCGGCGCCTCAGCGGAGACTTGGAGAGCCGTTCGCGCGTGAGCCGCGAAGAGCCATGCGGCGAGGACGGGACAGCAGCGGCTTCGGTCGAGGGTGTTGGAGCAGGCGGTGTTGACTCCGCCGAAGAGTTCGTTGGAGAGGTCGAGGCGACAGATTTGGGTTTGGGTTGGGGTGGGATATGAAGGGACGGTGGAGTCGCTGGGTTGTAGGAGTTGCGGAACAGTGTTTGATATTGATGCAAAGAGAAGGACGAACGCGAGAATGGGAGTGAATGGTTGCATTTTGAGTGTGTTGAAGAAATGTTGAGGAAAGGGAAGAGATTGTGTGAGGAAAAAGAGATAAGAAAAATAGTATTTGAGGGAGGATAGTGAGATTAGGGCAGAAAGGGTAGGAGACTGGTTACTGGATATGGTGCAAAAGTGCTGAAGAAAAAGTATTTCATAGAACTTGGCAGCTTGTGTTGTCCTTTTCACTTTTTCGTTCTGCTTTTTTTTTCTTCTCTGTTACTGTTACTGTTCCTTTTTTTTTTTTTTTTCCTTTCTCATCATATTTTATTGAATTCTATTATTTTGGCAGGCGTGGGATTTACGATCTGATTAAGTGATTAACCAGTTTGCAGGCTAAGAATTTTAAAGTTAAAATTGTTTGTTAAAAAATTTAACTAATATATCATTTTGTGATTAAAGAAAAACTATCCTCGCTTCCCTTATCCTAACAATCTTTAAAGGAAATGACGTCATGTTAATCTCTAAACCCCAATTATTCTTTCATTTCTTTATTCATCTTCTTAGAGGTGGAGGAATCTTGAAGAAGTACTCTGGAGAGACTGGATTCTGATTTGTAAACAGTGGTGTTCGCACATTGGAATTTTTTTTTGATGTTTTAAAGTATATTTTTAAGATGTATAAAAGATAATTATATAATATTAAATTTGAAAGATTTAAATAAGGAGGCTCTTTTTTTTTTTTTTTGATAGGCAAATAAGGAGGCTCTTTATGTATAAAACGATGAATAGGTGGGTTTATCCTATCATCACGTTATCATTACAAGAACAGAATCTATTACATTGGTCAGAGAAATGATACACAGAAGAAGCCTCCCACTCCCTGGTCTCTTGAAATCATTTTGCAATGAAGGGACCGGAGTCGTAGGTTGGTGGGACACTCAAATTTTGTTTGGGTTAAAAATTCAGATGTACCCCACTTTGGATTTTCACCTTTTAACAGAGCAACTATGGCTCTACCTATCACGCAACTCCTTAGATATCTCCTATTACTTCTCATCCTTTTTTTGTATTTTCCTTTTAATTCTTAAATTCCAGATATGGTTGCAAGTACCCTCCCCTACACCGAAAAAAAAAAAGAAGGATTATATATAGATATACACGAAAAATTAAATTATTAGACTTGTTTTCATCGATATATACATTTTATCTAATTTAAATTTAAAACTTATATACTATCGATGTGCCATATTAATTATTTTTTATTATAATAAATATATAAAATTAATATTATTTATTTGAATTTTATTAAAAAAATTTATATAAATTATAAGTAGCTCAGTATTATTTAAACAAATTTTTAAATTTAAGTTTTTATGTGATTCAAGTCAAATTTAGATTAAATTATATGAAAAAAAATTATACTAATTGAATCGAATTTAAATTAAACTAGATAAAAAAAAAAATTCTACACCAACAGAATAAGTCTGAGGATTAATATTTCCTTTTCGGTTAATATACATATCAAAGAAGAGAAAAAAATGAGTAAGATATTATATTTCCGATATTGTAGATTTGCATCCTTTCTTTTCATTTCTTTGGCTGAGTTGCATCTTTCCTTTTGTTTATAACACTGAAACAATTATATTTTTATATACCGATTAAGTTTTTATATATTTAAAATTCTATTTTACAAGATAATTAGCTTTTTTTTTTGGATAGATGTAGGCGTAGTCTTTTTCCAGTATACTTTTTGGTCGTGACAACTCTTTTTTTTTTTTCATTGTTGCATATGAACAATGAACAAGTTCATTGGGCCTAACAATATTATTTCTACGGATAAAGGAAACATTTCCTACTGCTCCCACTTTTTCTTTTTTTCTGTTCACTGAATGCTAATTCCCAGATCCGTTTGAAAGACTTTAACTCTTTGACCAAAAAATAGTAAACTAGCATATCTATTTAACCAGGGATTAGTAAAAACATCATTAGTATATACTACTAGTGAGTTTTTCTTATATACTGTGAGTCTGTAAGGATATTTTTAAACTTTTTTTAAAATATTATAAAATTATTTTTAAATTTAACAATTTTTAAAAAATAAATATTTTAATCAGTAATAATAAATGTTATTATATTCAATAAGACTAAATTAAGAAAATAAAAATTTAAAATTTAAACTAAGATTAAATTTTAAAAATTAAATACTTAATATAGAAGAAATCATATGTCATAATGAAAAAAAGCTCTTCAAAATATTTTTTGTTTAAGAATGATAATTCATACTTTATATATAAAGGTTACAGGTAGATTAACATTATTACTTTATAAATTTTAACCTTAAATTATCTATTATGCAAATATTACACCAAAGCTTTTAATAATATCTTGGTGCATCCCACCTAAGAATGAAAATAAATTAAGTTAAGTTTCACAAAGTTTAAGACTTATTTATTTTTCAAAATTAAAGGAAGGGCGGTCCATTCAATGACATAAACCTTTTTTATAAACCTATATTTTTTAAAATAATTAAATTAACCTAAAAACTCATTTAATAATAGACTAATCAATATGTAATTTTAAAATATAATAGTACAAATTCAATATAATTATTAGCAGCATTTGCTTAAATAAACTAAGTTGTTAAGTTTTTTAATGGCTTAAAATATAACTTTTCTAATTATTTAAACATATAAAATATTTTTTTATAGTGTTGGTATTTCTTTTATAGGAACTAATCTAATTCAAGACACACAAGAATATTATATGTTTAGCAATCAATTAAGAAATTAATAATTGAAATATTATTAACTTTATAATTTATTTTACTAGGACATATTTTATTACAATCCTAATCATTAATTTTCAAATTAATGACATTACTGTACTCAAATTCCTTACTTTCCAAGTCAAGTTATATAAAATTGTAATACAACAGTGGTGTAGTGTTTATTTTCCCACAACGTTTTCATCAATTTCGATCCATCAGCTGATGATAATTCTACAACAGTTCCTTTCAAGTTCAGAAAGCATTCATCAATGTATGTGCTGCAACTTAGAGAAGATAATTGGGACCAATTAAGATTTTACAACTTTAAATCTTGTTAAAACGATGAAACATCTTATTATTTTTATTATTTTAATTTTTTGGTTATCTGCTTCATTTTGCCTCAACAAATAAATTTTGCCAACCTTTTTTTTTTTTTTTTTTCCTGCAACTATATATATGAATACCGCAATAATATTACTGTTCATTGATAGTTTTCATCTTTATTTATCTCTTTCTTCATGTTATATTATATACATATATATCACGTCTTTTTTTTTTTATCTATTTCTATCTCTTTCAAAGTACATAGATATTCTACGAAAAATTTACCAAACATTTTCTTTTTTCTAGCAATAAGACTCACCAGTTTGGATTATTCATTTATGAATTATCATTAATCAGTTATTTAGAAAAACTCTTTAAATTATTAAATACATTAATTATGAAAATTATTAATTTAATAATAACATTTGACTAATATTATAGAATTGCAATAGAGATTTTGTTTTGATGATTGGGCATAGTTACACCACTTATGTAAAGAGTGTGGAAAGATCCTATTCTCATCTCATGTGGTTATTATTATTTTTATTCATCACTTTTATAACGTGTGTGTAAAGCTGTAATCATTATATCTCGATGGTCATTCTCACATTATTTATATATTACCACCTTATTTTTAAAGGGTGTTGAAGAAAGATGAATCTCTCTCTGATCCATCGTATATAATTCTAGTCTTGATTCTCTCCTTAATTCAAGATAGAACAATGAGCATGTTATAATATGGATTTATGTAAAATTTTTCTAAAAAGATAATTAGGACATATTTTCGTAACCATCTTAACAGAGGCCTACACACGAGGAAGAAATGGATTTCTTTAAAAAGTTTTAAAGTCCCGTTTATGATTTGACCTATTTACAGCTCAGGTTGAAAAGTAAAGGCATTGCAGCTTACATAGTTCCCACCTTCGGTGTAAATATAATGGATACAACATTTTTAAAGTAAATTTGTTTGTAAAGTGAAACAAAATTACTATCGATTTAATTGAATGTACATAACAATATTAACTTATAAAAATATAAGAATAGATAATCTACAACTTTTTTCGCATTATAGAAAAATTTACTTTAAAGGAACTTTTTCCTAATACATTTGTTGTCCTCACGTTTTTTATTCCCTTTTCTTTTTTGTAGAAGACAATTTTTTTTTCCTCCTATCAAATTCCTCAGTTTTCCTACAAGGAACAGAGAGTAAATAATTTAGTTGAAAAATCCATATCGTATTGAATGTGTTACATCTTGCTAGAAAGAAAGTGCCAATGGAGCAACTCCCACAATTTCATTTCCTTCTTGTGTAATAATATGGAGAAAAAACAAAGAGAGTAAACCAATTTGTCATCGAAGAAAACGTTGCCATTCAATTACGCTCAAACAAAATTTAATAATAATGGAAACAAAGGTCAATTCAACTACTTCGTCTGCTTTTGAAAGGAGATGATGGGGTTAATGTGGTGAAGGTTTCTTTCACACCTTTCGGAGGAAAGCCACATCGAATCTAGCTTTTATGGTTCTCTAGTTTGTTGATTAAAGAATGTGATTATAAAGCAAAGCATGTCTAGGACTCAGGAGTATGGACAAGGGTGCACTTTTGGGCTCTACCGAGAAAGCACCATATTTCAATTTTCAAACAGCTCAAGTCTTATTGAGTGGTGGTAGAAGGAAGAGAAGTGAAATATATGAAGACGACTTTCTCAAACCTAACGTCTCTTGCTGTGGAAAATGCACCTTCGAATATACATAAGTTATAACCAGTTAGATATAAATTAAATAAAAAATTTAAATTAAGTACAAACGTTTTTCTACTTATATCAATGTGAGAAGATTTGACATATATAATTGAATACTAAACCATATAATAGAATCTAATAGCATTTCATGAGGTGCCCCTTCGAAGGTGATGTAAAGTTGGATCTGCGAGTCCTCATAAACTTAACCAAACAATTGGATCACTTACCTGATAGAATCGATTTTATTAGAATTGAAAAAATACGATGCTTGAAAACTGTATAAACAATATCGTGATCGTTTATTTTGTTTTCAGAATCGATTCGCGCTGCACGAACGGAAAAGCGAACGGGTTAAGTGTGTTTTATTGTACATTTGTAAAATTGAGTTTTTAAATATATTAGTTAACACAAAATTTTGTTCACATATTTAAACGTAATTTTAAAATATTTTATTGTAATCCAAATGCATACTTAGGTTAATTCCAAGTTGCGATTCTAAAACTAAAATTATGAAGATGATGTAATTCCACCGTATAAGATGCGTCAGAAGCCTTAAGCTGGGAAAACTTCTGTAGCCCACTTTTCCTTTTAAGTCCAAAGGAACTTTACATCAAGACACAAAAACAAGTGGGGCAGATTAACATCGTGTTTGAATGAACGTTAATTTGAATTTGTAAAACTATTTTTATTAAAAATTAGTTAATGTGACATAATTTAAGTTTATAACCTTTTTATTAAAATTTTTTATAATAATATTCAATATGATATTTTAATTAAAGTTAAATTTTTACGTAAAAATTATAATTTGAGTTTTTAAAAAAATAATTTTATTTAAGAATCATTAAATATATATATATTTTTTATAAAATCACATTATAATAAATCGACATAATTACATAAGAATTCAACTTGAAAATAAACATATTTAGTTTGGATAAATTTATATAAAAATACATAAAAAAATAGAAAGTAAAATAACTAAATTGATTAATTTATACAGTTTATGTTTTGAAAAAATTGATTAATTAAAAAAAAGCAAAAGTGAGAGTTAATTTTAACTTATAAAAAATATTTTATTTATTTATTTTAATCTATTATAAGTAATTATTGAAAGTTAATCTAAATCGAGTTTAACTTTATTATTTAGTGTCATGCTCTCGGCTATCTTTTTAGGGTCCAAGTAGAATTGGCAAAATGAGTCGATCTAATTGGAATAGGCCGAACACACCTCATAAAATGCAGAATTTGAGTTTTAAATATTGAGTCAAATTAAATTATAACCCTTTGAACTCGATCTGATTATGTTCAATGCAAATTAAATCTACAAAAATCTGCAAAAAAACAAGTTTTATTTGTTCTGAATATTATTTTTGTGAGCCTAAATTATATCGGAGATTTTTTAACCTGACCCATTATAGCTCACTATTCACCATGGGCAGTTCAAATGCGTTTAGTAACCCGTTTTGCTGTCTCTATTTCTAAGTCCCTGGTATTCTCTCAAAAAATGAGGAAAAATTCACCAATCTGCAAGCATTGAAATTAAGGTCTAGTCACATTGCAACCGATGGACATGGGACTCTATTGCTTCTTTTTCTTATTTTCAAGATAGAAGTTTGCTTTTTGGACTTGGGGGGAACGCGCACACACAAAAGACATAAGTCAATATATACAGATCAACTCTATCACAGTGTCATAAATGACGTGTTCCTCTGTTTCTAGAAAATTAATCCACACAAGGTATAATAATTCATCCATGCATCACAGGATTAATGCCTCCTCTTTTGCGGAAGATGCTTTCCGTGTTTGAAACCTTTCCAACAGCAACAACAGAGAAAATTACTTGTAACGCTTTTAATTTCAACTCTGTAAAGGTGATATTTCTATTGTGTGTAAGGAACAAATCCACCATCTCATCAAAATATGAAAGTAAACCAATTTGTACGAGAAGTAAAAGATACCGTATATAATGCAGTCGTCTAGGAAATGAGTTGTATATATCAAGCTATGGACACAAATGCGCCAACAATATCGTCTACTATATCTAAAGTACAAGGGGTTGAATTAATGAGGAGAGGTAGAGGTTCGTTTCCCACTTCATCGAGGAGACAAATCTTATATGTTTTTTTTTTTCATAGAAGTTGGCACGTAAAGACAAGGGAACACTTTTGAGATCCGAATATCGTCAAAAGGATAAACATTCAAATGAAAGTGTTTTAGTGGTGAACGTGTCTGGTTATTCAATTATTCAACTTTTTGTGTGGGCGGTGGAGGGTAGCAAACAAAGGGGAGGGAGAAGAGAACATGATAAGCCGAAAGATGATCAGTGGCTATCACGAGATCAGATAAAGCACGATGGAATTACTGTGTGTTTTGGTTTGTTCAATTATCATGTTCTAGAAATTCTGGTAATATACTCCTTCAAATATATTTTTTATTATAAATAAAATACACATGAATATTTTATCTGTAATTTAATAACTTTAGTACATAATTTTATAATTTTTAGTAAAACTTAATCAATAAATAAAAATATATTAAATAATGTGCTCAAGAATGTGTTCTTAAATGTTTAAGACTTCAAAGTTTCACATGCATTTAGCAATTTGGCATTTGACGGAAAACGAAATTAAGTGGAAATGAGAGCGTTCATCACAGATTCTTCAATCTCTGTCGACTATATAATTCTTTTCTTTGTTAATGCGTTCAACATTTTGTGAGTTGCTTTCTTTAAATTTAGAATAATAATAAATCTTCTGAGTAATCCTCCTTTTATTAAAATATATTTATTATATATATATATATATATATATATATATATATATATATATATATATACCTCTAATTTTTCATTTTGTATCAAGGTCCGATAATATTTAAGTAAATTTGCATGATTTAGTCTTTGACGACTAATTTATGCCAGGTGACTAATTTGAAAAAATAATTTAAGAGACATTTAGAAGATTTTGTTTGGACTTATTAAAGTAGTTTATGATATTCTTATAAAAAAATTTGGATTTATTATTTTCATAAATTTTATATGCCAGTTTATGAAAAAATATTCATTTAATAAAAGTTTTAGAATAAGCAATTAATTGAATTATTTATTTAAACACAGTTTTAGTGATTTTTATATGACTTAACAATTCAGTGCAGTATATATATTTGAACTGTTATGATATGAATAGTGTCCTATAATAATTCAGCATATACTATTGAACTTCCGATGTTTCGTAGATTGTCAAAACTCTTTATCAGTAATTAACAGCCGCTTCTACTAACCTTTAAAGTTCATTATTTAGTTGAATCTATTTTATAAGTAAAAGTAATCAACCTGTTAGCGCATTAAAATTTTATTTTTTTCTTTTGCAATTACAAATATTTGAACTTAAGGGTTAAGTTGATTAAAGCTGCAGCAACGTTGTCAATGTTTTATTTTCAATTCATTATTCCCCATGACCCTAAGAAATTTTGTAGCTAGAGGCCTAATTTAAATTAGTTTCTCAATAATTTTTTAGAAAAGATAAAAATAAAGTAAATCAATTTTTTTTATAAATTAAATTTAGCATGTGTTTCTCTGCGTTATAAAAAATATTATCATTTAACTTTTCAAATATGAGATACATAAATTAATTTAAATTTTTTTAAAAAATATTTGTTTATTTTTGCTATTATAGTTTATTCAGACTGCACCATATATAGTCAAACTAAACTAAACTTCACACAAAAATGTAACAATAGAAAGCATTCAAAAGAAAGATATTGGTAAAAGTTACAAAGACTTCGTGTCATCAACAAAAACAAATTGACAACTATAAAGCAAAAATGGAAACAACCCCATCGACTACAAAATTATGTATGACAAAAATATTTAAATAACAATTAGAATAATATTAAATGCAAATTAAGCAGCAGTTTACAAACGCCATCTCGTTCAGACACATATTTACAAGAAGTCATTAATGTCCAGACTCTCTGGAATTTCTAACTTGAATACATCGCTGCAATAGGTGTCCCTCTCTTCCTCCGTGTTGCTATTTACATACGTAGATGAAGAATTTAATGGGGTTGGGGTAGATAAAGGCGTAGAAAGAACTGATTCATAGCCCATGTTTTGGTTTGCATTATTTAAGTAATGTAACAATTCCGGGCTCTCTAGCAGATCAATTTGGTTTTGTTGAGCAAACAAATTCTCCCCAATATAGGAAGGAACCGAATTCTCTGGGGAACTTGATATGCCATTCAAGTTGTTGCTTTGAGTTGGTGTCTGAAACTGATTCATAAACTCTTGAGGCGCAACTTGGCTTTGTAGTTGACAATTCCCAGCATTGATTTGTTGTAGATTTTGTGAAACCATTTGTGATATGTTCTCATTCTTCAAAGATAACAAATTCACCAACGCTTGGGCACCCAATAAGCCTTGCATATTGAGAAGCGATGCGTTGCCTAACGCTGACCTTAAAATTGAGGACATGTCAAGTAGATCAAGGCGTGGAGCGTGCGTAACGGGGTCAATTCCCATTCTAAGTAGCCTCTTCCTAATGTGGGTGTTCCAATAGTTCTTTATTTCATTGTCGGTTCTTCCTGGCAGCCTTGCTGCTATAGCCGACCACCTAAATAATATGCATAAACAACATCGGTTATTATCTGTTTTAGCATTATAATATAACATAAGCATAACATTCTCCAATTTATAATAAAAGAGAAAATCAAACACGTACTTGTTTCCTAAGACACTGTGCAGCTGAATGATGGTCTCTTCTTCTTCAAAGGAGAACCTTCCTCTCTTGATATCCGGCCTTAGGTAATTAGTCCATCGAAGGCGGCAACTCTTGCCACATCTTTGTAGGCCTGAAAGTAAAACCAACCAATATACGTTAATAAGATTTTTCTAAATTTTACATTATTGATAAAATTTATATATAGTAAATTTGTATTAAAAATTATAAAATTCATTATAATTTGTTGTCTTGATATATCATAATTTTGAAAATGAAAAGATTTAAAAAATTGTAGTTAATATAGCCAATAATCAGTGAGCATACACAAATAAAACATATAATGAGTTGGGGAAGAGTATATAGAGAAGAGAAAATTACCAGCATTCTTGGGGAGGGTTCGCCAATTTCCTTGTCCATGGGTTTGAATGTAGTTGATGAGCATGAGATCCTCCTCGGGGGTCCATGGACCTTTCTTGAGTCCATTCTTGTCACAGCAAGGTGCTCTTCCCATTTTGGAAGCAAAAGATGAGTAGTAAAGTGATGAGGTGAATGGTTTCAAAAAGGGTAGCCGCAAAGTGCACTAAAACACGAAAGATAGAAAGAGGAAAGTGAAGTTTTGTTGGTTCTAACGCAAAGCTAGTCGACCTCTGCTTTTATAGCAGAAAAAAAAAAGAATAAGAAAGTGGGGCTGTTTGTTTGAAGTCAAAAGGATTTGGTGCCGCCCTTCTGCAAAGTATTTATCAACCATTTATACACATGACAGTAATCATACGCATATGTATTATTCTCAATGCGTACATACAGTATACTGAATAATCATTAAACTATTACTACACAATTAATACGCTTTTTCTGATATCGTTTTAAGGGTGATATTATTTTCATAACTATTGTCCATAATAAAACTATCTATACGGTCTTTTTTTTCCACTTTTGTCTGGATATCTAAACATAATTAAAATGATTTTCTTATTATTGTTGTTGTAATTACATAAACCTTTACTATATTTTAAAAATAAATGTTTATAAAAAAAGTAAGAAGATGAATTATTTTAAAAGTTATCTCATTCAAAATTTTCAAAAGTTAAAATGTATAAATTAATTTAAAACTATAAAAAAAATTAATTCATTTTATTTTTTATTTTTATAAATATTTATTAAAAATGATTGAAATTAACCTTTTTTATATTTTATTAGCCATATATAAAAAGGTTGCATACATCCAATATAAACGTAGCAGCTAAAATTTTCTTTATTTATAAGTCATGTGTTCTTTGATTTTGCTTCCTTTAAATGAAAAATTAGGGCTTCAACCCTAATTATACCTAAAGTGTAACAATAATTTGAATATAAATTTTTTTCCTAATTAGTAGACTTAATAAATAGAAGGAAAAAAATATATAATTTCAACGGTACGTAAAGCCCTACTGCAATCCTCTAACTGTTTTAGATTACGCAAGTTTTCGTTTTTTGCGCATGTATTGTTGATAATGCTACAAAATAACAACAATTAAATTTTATTTTATTAATTAATTAGAATATACGATAAATGGATTTTTTAAATTAATTATTATAAAATTTTAATATTTTTTAATGATATGATAATCTATAAATGATAGTATAAAAGTTTTTGCAATGTAAATAACTTCCAATCAAATTGTAAATTTATTCGCTCTCCAACTTTTTAATTCTTATTTCTATTTTTAATTTCTAATTTCTTATAAACTTAATCGATCCTGCAGTGTGCATGCTGCCATAATAGGCTAATTTGAGAGACTTTCGAATTGTGTCGTTAGGAGCTCCACGTCATCTAGTACTTTCTTTTTAGTTAGTGAGTTAGACCACATCAGTGCTTTGTTTAATCATTTCAAACTTAATCACCGCAAAATCAAAGAAGTATAGGTTAGTTTTACAGGAATTAACATGAAATTTTATCATTGAAATTATCGTAATTTCTAAATAAATATTATATAGTGATGATAAATCAATCGCTTCTTTTAAGTATTTAATATGGGGTATATAAGAAAATTTAAAATATTAATCGGAGAAGATTGACATTAAAAAAATAATAGCGACAATAAATATTTCTTTAAATTTGATGTACAGTTTGTCTAATTTAAAGTTAAATAAAATTAATTTCAATATAGTAAATATAATTAAAGCATGTGTCTAAATTAATATTAATCATACATTTTATATTAAAACGTGATTTACAGTAAGAAAAATAAAATTGAAAAATAGGCAAGTAATATGAGGGTAAATTAGTTTTTTCTATTACTATTTAGTTATGAGTTGATAAATCTTTAAAAGCATTATGCTCTTAAAAAATATAATTGAAAATTTTAAATAATTATAGGATGATAATCCAAAAATAAGTTGCAATGATATTATTCCCAAATAAATTCAACAATTTAAAATACTTCTTAATATCGTAATTCCCTTACATATATGTACTTTTTAAGATTACAAATATTGATTAACAGATAAAATGTAATTATGAACGACGAATTAAATAAAAAATTGAGATTGTATGTTCTTATAGTTTCATAAAGCACATGAGAGGAATTATCCATCAAGATTTTGATTACAAATTAATTCGCGAAGAAATGGAGTTTCCGGTGTTTAATTCGTCCAGATGTACGCAAATGCTGCATACGTATTTTCGCACATTTAGACACTAACAAGTAATACCCATGTAGGAATCATAACACGTAACATTAGGTAGAATGAAAATTGTTTTTTACACGCCACGTTTTTATCTCATTCTTTTACATTAATTAGTTGAGAACATAACGTTGTTTATAATCAATGCATGTCTTCCTTGAATATAGGAAAGGTTCATTTACAAAAGTGAAAAAGATAGAAAGGGGGCTGACTTTTTCATTGTAAAATTGTGATGGGATCATAATGAGAAAATGATCATTGATTGAACTTGAGTTTGTTTGACCTTAGATTTAGATGTATTCTGGAGAATGGAGGGACGGTAAGGTTGTTCAGTTCCCTTATCAGCATTTGGAGAAAATATGTTCTACTCTTTCATCATATTACTTTACTTGCCTGTTTACTTTCATTCTGGGGCTCTCGTGCCAATTTTGGATAAGATTAATTAAAATAAATTTAGTTTAGGGTAATTAGTTGTTGGTATTCTTTTAATTTAATTTAAATCATATAGTAATTTTTAATTTATTAAAATTAAAAGGTAAATATACTTTTCTTAATGTATGCTTAAAAGAATTCATTTACTAACGTGTTGATCTAAGAACAAAAGGTTCAGATCTCTTAATCATGTATCTCAAGAAATTAATCTCTCAATTATTGAATAAAAAGATATTATGAAAAAAAACTCATTTTATAGGATTTTTTTTCTTAAATTTTCTTGGTCAAATTATGTGTTATATGGGACGTTTTGGCTACCATTAACAAGGTTCAAACTTAAACACCTTATGATAAGTTGGCTGTGCATTGAAAAGGCTTCTTTTTTTTTTTTTATTGACAAGTACATCATTCATTAAACACGTGTAAAAGTTAATTTAGATAAAATTTGCAATAAAAACATATGAGAGAATAAAATAAAAAAAAACAAAATTTATTTATATATTTTAATTATTAGAGAAGTTTTTATTTTTTATAAATATTTATAAATTTAATAAAACTTGGCATTATTGGATTAGAAAATTTTTAATAGCAAAATTTTACAAATTATATTATTTTTTAAATTTATTTAAGCTACATAAAACTTACATTCATTTTAAGGCCATTATATTATTTTTGAAAAATGTAATATTTTTACGAAAATATTATACAAAAATTAATATACATCAAAATTGATTATTTTTGTGTTTGGTTGTTCCGTTAAGCCTAACAAATTAAGTGTTTATTGTTTAGTATTGCCTTCAAAATTTAAAACTCTTACAAACAGATTAGTGTTGATGATGAGGCAACCACTACACTTTCAATCGGTCAACCCCAAATTCTTGGACACATGTCCACTTATGAGCGGCCAATTTTTCTTGGCAGGGAACTTTTTAATGATCGTATATGACAGGTGTCCATTTGTGTTCCACGAGTGAGGTCAATGATAGCATACGCTCTTGACATTTGTGGTTTGCAACATGTTGCTTCATCCATTTTAGCATTCGTGGCCTCATATTCAAATGCCATTGAAAATCAGGTTGCAAAATTCATCGACTTTCCATCTAACAACTTGAGATTTATAAGTCAAATGCCATTTTAGTTCATTCTTTCATCTTAGTTTTTCACTTTTTCTACCTAGAAAATATTAATATATATCACTTGGGGATCTCACACGATTGTTGTTCCTATTTTGCAAGTTACAACCTGCGGAAAGAGGAAAACTTCATAATGATGTCACTTTAATGTTGCTTGCTATTTGTGAAATACTTGTACTTTCACTGTAGACATGGTGGCCCATTTGTCTCGTGCAGAGAAAATAAGCCATTTGCTCATTTGATTTATCTGTTTTATGATTTTGAAGAATGGCCAATATAAGATCATACAAAATTTAAGCTCTTATATATATATATATATATATAATTTTTTAAAAGAATATAAAAAATTGCTAATTTAGTAAGGAATCGAACCCGGTTAAGTTAAAACTCCATGTCAATAATTGTTTTTTAACCAAACTTTTTTGGTATAAAGTTGATACAAAAAGTTGTTATCTCTGCTTGTTTGATGTCTAGAAGACATATTCATATTTTATTTTGAGGTCAGTTGCATTCAACAAATATAAGAAACGATGGATGCTTGAGTTGCATTCTCTAAACAATAAAATATGAATGATTTGTGTTTTAAAAGCTAAGTATATATGCATGGCTTCCCTTTGCGTTTCATAAATGTCCATCGATCGGATCTAGATCTATACACTGCATGATCCGAATCTTAGTGTTGTGGGAGGGCTGGATAACAATCATGCGTCACCATATCTTTTTATATATACGTTTTTAATTTACGGCTTTAATTTATTTTAATGAACATGCATGTCACACTGCAAGGCAGAGAAAAGTATTTTAATTAACATATCAGAGGCATAGCCACATAGATGATCACATGACAACTGCTTTTGGTCATTATTTTGCTCTAAATGAATGCTTGGTGACGACTGCCTTACCTTGAACAGTAATCTGACATCTCTTAATTAGTTGAATAACATATATGTATGGTTTTCAAAATTAAACTCCAACAAACTTTGAATCTATATATATATATATATTTGGTATCGTGTTGGTAAGGTGTGCGGTGCATGGCAGAGCTACACGTAGAAGAAGATCACACTGGTCTATAGAGCTTCAAGATTACATTCTTTGTTTTTGGTGGAAGCTCCAAGATTACACGATGACGCGCATATGTCTATCATTTGGGAATTATTTGGAACCTAATTGACGAAAAATTTAAGTGTTGGCGCTTCAAGATAGACACACGTATTATCGTTGCCTAAGAGCCTAACATAAACAATATTTATAGTTAAAGAACCGGAATATTATTTGTGTTTTCATGACATTACATTGATTTTTTTTAAAGTAAAATATCATATTCAAGTATTGTGTATGAAAAGAATATTAATAAATTTAATCCCACTATATTATTTGAATTTTTCTTATTCAAATAAAAGAGTATTTCTAAAAAAGATGCCTCTGCATGATTTTACACATAAAAAATAACATTAAAATATTTGTTTTACATAATTATTTAGGAGACGAGTTCCCCTAATATTTTATCATCATTAATTTGTTCATTAAGAAATTTTCATACTTGTGTTTTAAACGGCCTTGCTTAATAAATTAGCTTGGGCCAATCTTGGGTTAGTACAAAAGTAAGCCAGTGGGCCAGCCTGGCAGTGGCGAGCAGCAACATGTGAGTGTGTGTTACGGCTTTTTAGAATTGCACGCTACTGTATTCCATATTGGGCCAGACAGATTAGGCCCACACCTTTGTTAAGAGGAATTTAATGGGCCGATGTTCCCTATACATACATGTCACATATAAGTATCGGAATGCGTTACAATAAGAAGACACATATATATACTATTGGAATGGTTAACAACTCAATGGTTAAATAGATCTGGTTCCTATAGTTTTATCTAATTTTAGTCAAGATAAATATTTGATTTTTAATAAAGAAAGCCTTTAAAATTTATATGTGTGAAAAATTAGATGAGAAAATTATGATAAAGTTCAAGTATACTATCAATTTTTGACAGTTTGATTCATTTTAAAATAGACTGTAAATGATAATATACCACATTACTAATAGAATAAATGACAATACACTAAGGACTAAATAATAAATATTTTAATTTAAAATATTAAATTGGTAAAAACCTATAAAAAAAAATAAACCATTATTTAAACCAAAAAGCTCATCAAATTCTCGATTGGACATGTTATTGCGTCATGAAAAAACTTTTAAGATAAATGAAACCAACAGTTATACACTTAGGTTTAATTTGAAAAAATTTTTAAAGAAGCACTTGTAAGAAAATGAAATAAAGAAAAAATAAATAATTTTTTATAATTTAAATTCACTTATGCATCTTAAATTTAAAGACAAAAATAAAAGATCTTTTCACAAAATAAAATATTATAGTTCAATTTTAACTTATTAAAAAAATAATTTAGTTTGCTTTCTTGCTTTTATCTCCTATAAATACTTATTTAAAAATCATTACAAACTGAACCTCTAAAGTTTTGAATCTAGGGTCACGATCTTCTCAAGCTTGGGAAAGTTAAGTAGGATTTAGTCGCCAAGGCATTTTACAGTGTGCAGGTTCGTGGTTTTCACAAAATATTAAAAAGCTTTTTAATTCATTAGATGTACGCAACTCATTTAAAATAAGTGGCAACTTAAGGATTATATTGAACGTTTAAACACAAATGAGCAATCCCGCGGAAGGGGTATGATATAATAAATTATGTTTATGGAATCTAATTGACCAACCAAACAATATTATTCACTTCAGAAAAACTTAAAAATCATCCATTGGAAATGAAAACAAGATAGATTATCAAATTTTACCACACATGGATCTGAATATCCATATTACAGTTGGGCAAATTAAAATCAACGACCAAGACTTAATAACACAAAATTAATTTCTGGATAGACCCAGGCTTTGATTTTTATTGAAATCCCACAAACAGATTTAGGATTTTGAAGCTTGAAGTCCTTGTTGAATTACAGAAATTAAATATCCAAATTCCATGTCCCTAAATACCAATCCAACCTCAAGTCCTCCTTCCTCATCTCCACTTTCAGCAAGAGACATACCCTTGAAGGAATGTAACATCTCAACTTTGATAGGTCTTCCAAATCCAAAATCAGTCTCATAAACAGTGAACTTAGGTGACCCTGTAACTAACAACGTACTTCCCAACACAAACATCTTTGTAAACGATCCCTTCCAATTTTCTGCATCTCTAAATGGTTTATTTTTCATATCAGTCACTGCTCTTTCAATGACCTTAACTGCGTTCACAAAACCACATTCTCCCTTAAGCTCTTTTCTCTTTAGCATTGCATTACATAGAGTTAAGCAGTTTCCAAAGTATGTTTCTGGCACAGGGTACTCAAGGCGACCTCTACAATCAGCTGCGAAACGAAAGTACTCCTCTTTTAACTCTTCTTCATCGTCATTTCTACATCTTGTTTTAACCAAGCTAGCCCACACAAAAGCACAAGCCACCACAAATTTTGACAGATACTGTGGCGTGTTAAATGCATCGTTTTTCTCCCACTGATTCAACACCCACTTTTTCAGCCCTTCTATTTCTTCTTTTCTAAACACAATAGTCGCTTTGACATAATCTTGATAACCACTAGAAAGTTCAGAAGTTGGACCGACGAGTTTGTCCTTCCATGTTGACCTCTCTTCAAAATACTCTCTTAAGAATATAGCCTCGAGTTCTCTAGGGTCCTTTAACACTTCTCTATCAAAACATGGGGGTGACTTCAAGTCAACGACACCGCTTCGACAAATGGAAGACCAAGACTTCATGAAATGACTGCAAGAACTATCATCCATGACGTGGCAGTATGTGATGGCTATGCAAAGGCCATGGTTGGGGAAAACCGTGGCTTGCAAAGCCACTAGTGGGAAAATGAACGTGTCATCTTGAGTGTTTGTGCATGTTAACTTGGGAACCAAGTGATCCAAATCTTTGAGATTTTTGGGGTGGTTGGAGGAGAGATGGTTGAAATCTGCTTCGGATTCGATGATGGTGAAGGTGATAGAGTCATCATCGGTGCAACGAATGAAGGGTTTGTGGGGTGGTGGTGGACAGAGGAGATTTCCGGCCAGAGGGAAGAAGTGTTGAAGTGTTTGTGAGAGAGAGGTTTTGAGAGTGGGGAGTGTAGTTTTGCAAAAATGGTGCGTGGAGTAGGGAAAGTGATAAAAGAATTGGCGTCTCACGTAAATAGGACCTACCAAATGCAAATCAAGGAATGAAAGGGGAAAAGAGGTGGTGGTTTTATCTCTAGAATCAATGGGTTTTGCTGGACCAACCTCAAAACTTTCAACTAGTTTGTGTGCTCCAAACACTGCCATCAATGTATTCGATGACATATCAGAAAAATCACAGAACAGTTTTTCAATAAGCTTATGTGCTTCAAGCTCATTCAAGAGACGTAACGAATATAAATTATGTCCTCTCAGCTTTGTGGTTGAAAGATTCAAAGTTGAAAAACGTATATTCAGCAACAAGTACGAAGAGCAGTCAAACGTATATATTACCTAGCGTCTAAATAATAAATTTATTTAATAATAAATTATTATATTTATTATATTTAAATAAGTTAAAGAATAATCAAATTTTTCAATAGAAACAACACGCGATCAAAATTAAATAAGTCAAAATTTAAAAATAAAATAATAATATTATAGTAATATATTTTTTATATTTTTAATTTTATTATTATTAATATTCAATTATTTAATTATTATATTAATATATATTATAATTATTTTATTTATAATAAATAAAAATTAATTAAATAAAAATTATATTTTATTTAAAATTTAAAATATTAAAATAATAAAAATAAAAAATAAAAAATTCAATATTAATATATATATATATATATATAATAAAATCATATAGCAAATAATATAAATAATATAATTTTAAATAAATTATATATAATAATATTTTTTTTAACTTGACATATTTTTCTATTAATATAAACTTTTTAAGTACTATACTCGTAAAAAAATTTTAAAGTACCACAACATACATCTAAATTCTAATGGCTATAAACATCAAATAAAAATATTAATATAGAATTATAATGCTTATATTAATAATATAAAGTTTATTAGACAAATATTATATTAAAGGAGACTCATTCAACATCATGATATATTTTACTGAATGATAAATAGTGAATGATAAAAGAAATAAAAAGCATTGCTAAATTCTTGTTTTCTAAGTTTTCAATTTGGTATTCGACGCTTAAAAAATAGACTTAAACCTCAGTTTCACAGATCAAGACTGCAGAGTTGAAGTCATGGGACAACAAGTAGTAGGATATAAAGGAGGCAATAAAGTATTTAATTCGCATTATTAACAATCTTTCATAAGAAGGGATTTGAATACCTCCACTTTATCTTTAAAAAAAAAACTTTTAAAATAATATATAATACACACGCACAGAAATTTCCAAATACTACGAGAACATGTCAAAACGTGGATATTCAACCGTTAATTCCTCCCTAATTTGAATGTTTATGATTGTCGTTTATGTGAAGTTACCTCTCCTTAACATTATCTTTTTCCAAAAGTGGCTAATGTAAGCATGAAAAGTATGTTTAATGTAGCTTTTAGAACGCAAAGTAAATATTAGATACAGGCTCGTGAACTTCTTTATTCGGTTTCCTAGAACGAAAGGCAACTTTATTTCTAAGCAAGTTGTTTTCACAGGACCGATTTGCTCTCAAACAGAACTCAAAACACATTGGTGTTTATTATTATCTAAATATGCACAGATTCTGACATGTAATTAATAAAATGATGTTAGAGGCTTTGGACATGTCCTTAACTAGGTAATTATATTTGTAAGTATATTTTAACCTTAAAATCTCATTTAATTTTGATGAAATTTCGAGACTCAATTTCCATAAATTTTTATTTGAAGAAGAGAATGATGTTAAAGATTTTTCTAAATACTAGTTCTACGCAAGGGGCGGGAAGAAACTAGGAAATTCATGGAAAATGAATGACTAAGTCCAAGTCATCATGTTTGTCAGCTAATGCTGGGGTCTCGTTTATGTTGCTGTGCAGTCTGCAGCACTAGCTAAGGCAAGTTCGTAGGAAACTTGTCATTGTATTGAACACAAATGTAATCTCCATATTTTGCGATACCATCTCCTCTTAAAAATTTTATTCCCAAAGAAAAAAGAAAAAACACACACACACACACAATTATTACAGGATTTGGATTTTCTGGTCTTGATAAAATAACGGGAGAGATAGAAGATAGATAAGACATCTAATATAATCAATAAATCTTATAATTATAAGAGATCATTCAATATTTGCCTCCATCAAAGAGAACGGTCTTATTATAATAAGGAAAAAAATCTGTTTTATACAAAATCTTTGACAACATAATATAAATACTTTTTTCTTTCTCTCTTATCACATACATGCTCGTGCGAAAATTTCAGTAGTTAATTTTAAATACATTAAAGTTCGTAACAAATTATTCTTATTTAATAACATTTTTTATAATAAATAATTACATTCTGATTATATAAATAATGTCAACATTTATCTGGATTTTTATAATAATAATAATAATAACGACAACAATTCTTTTTTTTCTTTTAACTTTATGTTAAAAGTAAAAAATAAAAATATACTCAATTATTTTTTTCTAAATAATAAAAATATCTAACTCAAAAGAAAAATTTAAAAATGATAGTGATCTACTCTTATCTTTAATCTTATAGGAAAATAAATAAATACAAATTCTCTTATAAATTAAAAACAATTTATGCTTCTTTATTTTTAAGAAAATTTTTTATTTAACTTCTTTAAAATTTGAGAAAATAATTTTTTTATCAAAAAAATTTATTATTTTTTATACTATTTTTTCCCCTAAAAAACTTCTCTAGAACTTGACTTAAATTAGACCTTAATTTTTTAAGAAAAAAGAAATAATAAAATAGAATAAAGTGAAATTTTGAGCTGTTAATTCAAGATCACTCAAAATCTTAGTTGGTAAGCTTATATTTTTCTTTATCATGCTGCGAGAATAAAATGGATGCATTATTATCTTTGGTAGAATAAAAAATGAATCTTCCCTGTATAAGATAAAAAGAGACGTGCAATATAAAAAAAAATCAATAAATATCTTTTCTTAATTTTAATCTAATTAAAAATTGATTATATCCCCATTTTCTTGAGATCAACATTATATGGTTGGAAGAAATTCATAAAGGCGGAGGGCTGTCTAAGCTCTCTGATAAAAGTGGTTGATCAAGGTGACTCGTGATGCTCCAGTGATTTTTAATAGATGTATTATTATTATTATTATTATTATTATTATATCGAATGTTTATTTCATATATGTAAGTATTATTAATTAAGGTGAAGTTATCGATTTAGCACTTGATTTTATAATAAAGCCGATCATTGTTATGCATTCGAGATGATCCTTTGCAGAGGTAGACAAGCGGCTTTAACAGGCGTGAAATTTATGATTGCAGCAAGTCTAAGCAGAGTGACAACAGTGAAATAATTTAAAGGGAATTGGATATTCACTCTGAATTAGGCTCGATGCAATGTAAAAGAACAAAAAAAAAATAACACAAGAAGGAACAAAAATGAATTAACCAATTCAAGATAATCAAGTCGCTACCTATAAGGAGGAATAACCAATTTAGAAGGGACCTAAAAAGACAAACTCAAAAAATGGTGTCACCGAGTTAATTTTCTTTTTAATTTCATATATTGTTCCTTAAATTTTTATCTCTGAGTGTGTGGTACTACTGATTAATACTCTAGGGTATGTTTATTTATCGGTCTCTTTTATTTTAATATTTTGTTGTCTGTTTTAGATTTTGAATTTTTTTATGTTTATATCTATATATTATTTTTTGGTTTAATTTTAATTAAAATTTTAGTATATAAATTTACTTTAAAATAAAAAAATTAAACATAACATCTTATTAATTTTGTATTTTAGATATTTAAATTGTGATAACTTAGTAATTATAATTTTTTATAATTTTATAACTTAGTTTTTAATAATTTTTATATTTTATTATTAATTTTTTAATTATACTTTTTTAGTTGACAAGACTTAATAATTAATTTTCTATATGAGGTGTTCATCGATGTGAATATATTCAACCACATAATATATAAGTTATTATTTTGGCATTTAATACTAAAAATATTTATAAAATATGAAATAAATTTATAACAAAAAATTATTTTATTAGTATTAATGAAATAGTTATTTAGTTCTTGTAGAAAAAATTAAAGAAACTATTTATTTAATATTTATGTTTGTCGAGAAAATAAATACCAAATATACTATTGTAATTTGTAGGAGTATTTTGTACTTGATTACATTTTTCTAAATAATTATTTATTCATTTTAGATTTTAATGGATGTTCAAATCCTAATGTTGAGAATAAAAGCGTTAGTGTACGGTCTTTATTATGTCAATATTTTTAATTTATCCTTTTAGTAAAAAAATTCTTTGCCCAATTTTTCTTATGCTCACAAAATTATAATAATTAAATATCGGAACTATATTATCCTTCTCAACAGGAATATATAACAGTTGTATTATATCATCTAGTTTTAATTGAAGGCTTTGTTAATCTCAATCTTAGAATTGAGTTTAATCATGTATAAATATAAAAATTTATGAAAAAAATACATATTTAATAGTTCCAAGAGTATAATAAATTATTTTTTTAGTATTTTTTTTAATTTAATTAGTAAGCACTGATCCATATATCCTTATTTCTAGAAAAATCAACAATGAGTTTTTGACACAACCCCCATTATTGCAAGTGCAGCTACTGCACTATATTATTCTTATTCCTTCAAGAGACTGTGAATTGCTTTTTTCCACCCCAACAATTTTTTAATAGACATAGTTTGATTTTTGTCTAAGCCACAAATATGTATACCCTTAGCATTTTGAAGCTTCAAGTCCTTGTTCAATGATAAAATTGAAATATTCAAATTCTCCACTCCTAAATACCAAACCAACCTCAAGCCCTCCTTCCTTGTCTCCACTTTCAGAAAGAGACATACACTTGAAGGGATGTACCATATCCACTTTGGTTGGTCTTCCAAATCCAAAATCAGTCTTGTAAACATTGAACTTGGGCGACCCATTAACTAGCACCGTGCTTTCCAATGCATACATCTTTCTAAACGTTGCCCTCCAATTTTCTGCACCTTCAAAGGGTTTATTTGTAACACTAGATACTGCACTTTCAATGGCCTTGACCGCGTTCACAAAACCACCACCTCCCTTTAGCTCCTTTTTCTTTAGCTCTGCATGACACATCATTAAGCAGTTTCCAAAGTATGTTTCTGGCACAGGGTACTCAAAGCGATCTCTGCAATCTGCCGCAAAACCAAAATGGAATTGCTCCTCTTTCGTCACTTCTTTTTCGTCATTTTGATATCTTGCATTAACCAAGCTAGCCCACACGAAAGCACACGTCACAACAAATTTTGATATATATTTTGGCGCTTTAAATTCGTCATTTTCCGTCCATTGATTCAGTACCCATCTTTTTAAGCCCTCAATATCATCTCTTCCAAAAACAATCGTTGCCTTAACATAATCCTCATCATCACACGCACGTTTAGGATTTTGACCAATAATGAGTTTGTCCTTCCACGTTGACCTCTCTTCAAAATAGTCTCTTAAGAAAATAGCCTCGAGTCCCCTGGGGTCCTTCAACACTTCCCTATCAAAGCACGGTGGCGACTTCTCCACAATTGTGAGGTCAACGCCGCCGCTTCGACAAATGGAAGACCAAGACTTCATGAAATGACTACAACACCTATCATCCATCACGTGGCAATATGTGATTGCCATGCAAAGGCCATGGTTGGGAAAAATCGTGACTTGCAAGGCTACTAAAGGAAATATGAACGTGTCTTCTTCATGGATAGTTGTGCATGTCAACTTGGGAACCAAGTGATCCAACTCTTTGAGATTTTTGGGCTGGTTGGACGAAAGATGGTTGAAATCCGCTTTGGACTCGATGATGGTTAAGGTGACAAAGTCATCATCGGTGCAACGAATGAAGGGTTTGTGGGGTGGTGGCGGACACATAAGATTTCCAGCGAGAGGGAAGAAACGTTGAAGAGCGAGGGAGAGAGAGCGTTTGAGAGTAGGGAGATTAGTTTCGAAGAAATGATGTGTGGAATGGGGAAAGGGATAGAAGAATTGGCGTCTAACATGAATAGGACCTGCCCAAGGTAAGTCAAGGAATGTGAGGGAAAGAGATGTGGTTCTGCGTATAGCTGGACCAACCTGAGATTTTTCAACAAGCTTATGTGCCATTTGTGCTATGATGTTTGAGTCAGTTGAAGGAAACTATCCCAGAGAAGAAAGCATATTCAAGGGACGTATGATGCATGAATATATCCTATCCCCTATTATTTTCGTGGTTGAAGGGTTCAAAGTCGAAACTACGTTCCTGGAACTCACCCATTTGACAAATAATTCTGACGAAAGGTATCTTACATCATATTCCATTTGACTTGTTTGAGAAATGATTAAAATGTTAAAACAATTTAAGAACAGTATGAAATTTTATTAGCAAATAAGATTCCAATTTCCATGTGAATTTACATGTATTGTATCAGGAATTTGAATCTTTTAGTCTCTACAAATTTCGCTAAAAGAATGTTTGGTCAAAGTCAAATATTAAAATAGAAATAACTATAGGTTCTAACTTTTGAATTTTGTCTTAGACATGCAGTTATAAATGTACTTATTTATAATTACACACTTTACACTACTATATGGAGGCTTAACAATCCCTTTCATCACAAATCAAGAAATTGGATAACTTATTAACTACACTGAATAAAAAGATCGTTTTAAAAGTATAATTACCAAGAAAGCCGAGAAATTTCAAAATCAATGAGATCGTATGCGGGACCTGCATATTCATCCTTTAATTTCCGGGAGATTTTAATATCCTCCCTTTATTTGGAAAAAATAAATACAATATTTTTCAATAAGTAAAAAGAAATTAACTTTGAACCGTTGATATTTATAAATATAAAATGAATGGATAAGATTAATTGGTAAAAAGTTTAAAAATCAAAAAGAACCGGTGACTACATTGTGTAATAAAATGTTAATGAAGGCTAAATAAGTAAATCGTTACTCTTCTTTTATCTCTTTCCTCTTCATTTCTATGACAACTCCTCCATTTTCATCTCTCTTGTTTCTTCTCAATCTCCTTCATTCCCAGAAATTTTTTTTCATCTAAACTTTGAAATTTGTTGGATAAAATTAACTAAGATGAAATTTCTCCTCTGTGACTTCCTTCATAATTTCCTCTGAATTACATGCATTGGCTTATCAATCTGAATTCCAATGAGACATGGCTGGAAGAACATGAAACGTGGTTGGAAAAAGTCACTTCTACATCAGTTGAATTAGATGACGGAAACAATAATTCTTTACAAAGTATATTTAAAAAATTAAAACGTAAGTTTTACATGGGTTTTCTCAGGTGTAAATAAATACTTCTCCTTTATCTCTTTTCTCTTCATCTCCATGACAACTCCATTTTCATCTCTCTTATTTCTTCTCAATCTTCTTCATTTCCAAATTTTTTTTTTCATCTAAACTTTGAAATTTGTTAGATAAAATTAACTAAGATGAAATTTCTCCTATGTGACTTCCTTCATATTTTTCTTTGAAACTCCTCCATTTTCATCTCTCTTATTTCTTCTCAACCTCCTTCATTTCCAGATTTTTTTTTCAATCTAAACTTTAAAATTTGTTGGATAAAATTAACTAAGATGAGATTTCTCCTCTATGACTTCCTTCATAATTTTCTCTGAATTACATGCACTGACCTATCAATCTAGATTCTAATGAGACATGGCTGGAAGAACATGAAACGTGATTGGAAAAAGTCACTTCTATATCAGTGAGTTGGATGACCGAAGCAATAATTCTTTACAAAATATATTTAAAAAATTAAAACGTAATTTCTACATGGGTTTTCTCATATAACTGATGTAAAAATTAGCGACATAAACCCAACACAACCGATGTAAATACAGTCCATGCAAAAAATGTATAAAGTGGTTGCTTAATAACATCAGACTTGCCACAGACCCGATGCAAATTGAATCCATGCGCAAATATAAAAGGTGTTCACCTAATTATATTGATTTTATAACACAACCGATGCAAATGTAAAGGCTGCACAAACTATTGTTCATCTTTTAACTCTCGAACCCTTGCAGAAATTATCCAATATTCATTGTTTTTTCACTGTCTCTGACCTGCACAACCAATTTCATTGTAGTAATACAGTTACCCCTACTTTTTATATTAAATCTCCACAACCTGATGTTCTTTTTATCATAACTTTATACATACTTAATATTTAAAATTTCATGTTTTTAACATTGTAAGCGCTCCACACCTACCTGTTGTTCTGTAAATATAATTTTTAACATAACGCTGAAGAGAACAAGATGACCAACACCAAGAAGAAGAAGAGGAACAAAATACGAAGAAAAAAATAAAAATACAAAATTACCAATGTATCCTTTTAAAAATCTAACTTAAATAATCGGTATCATGTAATTCATTCTTAACTATTCGATTAAAATCAATGGTCCATAATACATGATAGCTTTTGTAAAAGATTTCTTTTTTTTACTTTTTACAAAAGAAAGGAAGATATTAGAACCCGCCCTTAATTCCTCCATGTTTTGAATGTTTATTATCGTTGATACCAAGTTAAATCTCCTTAACAAGCAATATTTTCTCTTTCCAAAGCTGATGCTAAAGAAAGCGTAAAAAAACGTGTAATGGTAACTTTTAGTGTCTTTTCGAGGTCTTTTGGAAAAGCGAGTTTGGAATGAGAGAAAACAAAAAGAAAATTTTATATTTAAAATAAATATATTTAAAATTAATATTTATTTAAAATAAAATATATAGATTGATATAAATTTAATATATTAATTATGTATTTATTATTTTTTGAAAGCGACTTGTGGTATGATTTTGAAAAACTCAATTGTGTATATAACTTAAATTAATAACTTTTTAATATATATTGTTAATTCTTTTTAAAATGTAATAGGTTAGAATATTTTTTATTTATATTTTATTTTTAAAAAATTTATATATTTATTATTATAAATAACATATAATTATTTTAATTTAAAACTAAAAAATATTTTTTTTCTTTTCTCTTTCAAAATCTCCTCTCAAATGTACTGTAATAAAATTTTATGCTTGTGAACATTTTTTTTGCTTTTAATTGGCAATTTTTTTTTGCTATAATTGGCAAATTTTCCCTACTTGATTTCCGATTAACTGTTATTTTTTTATATGACCGACTTACTATGAAACACAACGTGGAAGCACATTGGTCTTTTTCATTATCTAAAATGATGCACACGCATTTTGAATTTTGACGTGTAAAAAACAAAACGATGGAATGATATATTTTGTAGAATACAAACAAGTTCTTGGCAAGGGGTGGGAAGAAACTAGGAAATTTCTCCAAGGTATATGACTCGGTCCAAGTGATCGTGGTGGGGTCTCATTCTTTCTTTGATCCACTAGCTAAGGCAAGATTTTTCCCTGCATAAAAAAATTAGAGAAATATTATGTATTGTTTAATATGCTTTTTAAATATATTTTTATTATTATTTAATTTTTTTTTAAAATTTACGAGTCTTACTTTTAATTTAATAATTTTTTATAAATTTTATTTAATAACCAAAAATATGTTTAAAGGTAATGTTGTTAATACTTCGCAAAAGATTAAATTTTGTTAGAGTTTTTATAAATACTTTTTGAATAAATTATATAAATCAATAAAAAAATAAAATTTAATTGATTTGTTTAATTTTTAAAAAATATAATAACATAATACATTTACCTTCGTTTAATATCACTAAGTCTAATCTTATTATTAAACTTTATTTTTATTAATTTTAATTTAGACCTCTACCAACTTTATTTATTACAAGAAAATAAAAAAATAATAAATATTTTAGAAAAATATAAGATATCTTGAGATAACAATTATACTTAATTATATTCTTTTGTCTCTATACCTTAATTTGTACGTAGTTTTGGTCCCTTGAGTTTTAATTATTTACCTTTAATTTTTCTACTATTTTAATTGTTTAAATTAAGTTCTTCACTCTAAAATTGTGTTCAATACAAAAGAGACTTTTATTATATTATATTTATTTATTATTTAAACATTTTATTAATAATTTATACAAATTAATAATATATCACACTTTTATTATATCTTTGTTAATTATTAGATAAATTTTTTTAGAGAAATAATTTAAAAAATTAGAATACTAAACGTTAGCCATTAAAATAAGAACTAATTTTCACACACAAATTAAAATATATAAAAGTGTAATTATTAAAAAATTTAAATCTTCTAAAATATTTTTATAAATATTTTTTTAATGTCCAACAAATAAAAAAATACTTATATAAAATATTTTTTTTATTAAAAATTGTAAAGTATCACATAATCTTATGCATTACATTGATGATATTAGATATACTATGATTTTAATAAAATTATTGTTTATTAAATTTATATTATATATATATATATATATATTTAAAACTACATGAAAAAATATTCATTTTATAATTTGTAATAATTAAATTGGTTAAGAACTTTCACAAATACATTCCGTGTATTAGAAGGTGTCACCGTTTTGAATTCATCACTCCTGGTTCCTGATATAACTGCCCAAAAATGATTAATAAGGTCTTAAAATAGGCATCAAGCCAATAAATTAAGATTCATTGCTTAACCAAATTTAAATTTAGAGTAACTAATACTACAGGATCCTTGCACTTCCCACGAAGTTCCTTAGAGGAAAAATCAACAACTTATTTTGTTGACACAACCTCAAGTCATATTTATTATATATGACTTATTTCAAAAATTTTAACTAAAAAGTATAAAATATATTTATAATATTCAACTATTATTTTTATAATAAAAAATTTAAAGAGTAAAGTTGGCACTCATACCTATTTTGTTTTAATGAAATAAACAGTCTTACATAGGTAGCATGGCTTCTCTCCACATGCAGTAAGTAGCATTTAGCAAAAATGACTTTATATTCAATTTTAATTTGGTTTATAAAATAAAAAATAATTAAAATTAAATAAAATAGTTGAATAGATCAGCTGCGAGCTACAGATAACGATTTTGTACCGCTAAGCCTTTATTGAAACTTTAGGATTTACCTTACTGTTCCGATAACACAATTAAAAAAATAATTTCTGGTGTTCTTGCAACTGCTAAGAAATGGTCGTATACTGCTACTTTTTAGTTAAAAAATTGAAGTAAATCATATGCAGTAAATATGACCTACCCCGTTTTTCTAAAAATATTTAAAAGTTACGTTAATCTTATAATTTTGATACTTAATTAAACTACTGCTCTCTCTCTCTCTCTCTCTCTCTCTCTATATATATATATATATATATATATAAAGTCGAGATGTGACGAAGGGGCATGTAGATAGACGTAACTATCAGTAGAAGACTGAAAAGATAAGGATTCCCATCAGTGTTCAGTGTTTTGTTGGTAAATTAATTGTTCTTTCAGGATCGTAGATGAGTAAATTAATGTCATTTAATTCCAGAACAGCGAACCCCATGCGATGATTGATGAAAAACGATTGCTTGCTCCGGAGAAGATTGGGGAGCATCATTTTTTATCCCACGTGCGATTTAGGGCTTTTTTATTTAAATATTGTAAAATAAAAAATAATTTATTAAAATAGTGTATTTTTCAAACAATTTTCGTGTCTGGAGTTGGGGCGCACACGTATCACCAAAAAGACTGGCAAAACTTATTATTTTAATATTATAAAACAAGTTTCGTCAAACAAAGGGCGAAAGTTGAACAACGTAGGAGCATTAGAGAGCGGTTTATTAGGAACCGCTCTCAGAAGTCTATGAAAGAGAGCGGTTCTTCGCTCTCAGAAGTTCTACTAAGATAGCGGTTTCACAAGAACCGCTCTCAGAAGTCCTCTTAGAGAGCGATTCAAATAAACCGCTCTCTAATCTCGCAACAGTTTCACCAAAACCGACGCGAAGCTAACTGTGTTTCGCCAAATACAGAGCGAAACTTGTAAAAATAAATTCATCAATTACAATCAACGGTCATGGGAATTTCGCAACTGCTGTGGCGAAAGTTATTTCGCCCAGCCCTGTCTTCTTTTCTTCCTCCATTCTCCTTCATTTTCACATTTGATTTTTCTGCTTCCCTTTCCGTCACTGGCCCTCGTATAGAGTTTGTTCTTTTTGCTTTATTTGTAGTAAAAATTCTGAAGTTTTAAAGCATTTATCTGAGGTAATAATAATAATTATTATTATTATATTTATCATTAATTTATGTTCTATATATTTTTAAAAATATGTAAAAAGTTGACAAAATTGACTTTTTAAATTTTTTTTTATAATATGCAGGGGGTGTAGTACAGTAAAAAATAGTGGTAAATATTTATTAAGGTTAGTAAAATTTTGATACTCATTTATCAATTTGTGTAGTATAGAAATATAGAATTTGTTATTATGTAATTATTGTAGACTTAAAAAAATAGTATATGATAAATAAAATTGAAAACAAAATTATAGGTAAATAATGTCATAATAGTGATAATATTAAATAAAAAATGATATAAAATGTTTGTATTAATACATAATTGAAAATAAAATTTATATAATATGTTTGAATAATATAATTAGTCATGTTATATTAGTTATATATTTATAAGAATAGAAAGAAATTATGAAATCAGTTAAATCACACTCGTATATTAATATGTTTTTTTTGTATAGATGGCATCATTTTCAGGACAGAGTCGGGTTATTAATCCTGGTCCAGAAGATTCATCACTTCTTCGGTTTCAGAGTATTCATGTTTCTGAGCATGTTTGGGATGGACGTAATCACCCGACGTTGAGGGTCAGGAAAAGTCAAAATATTTCTGGTGGACTAGAGGGTGTTCTTGAAGAAATTATTCCTCATCTGGAGTTAGCAGGGTTTATTGGAGTGGCTAACTTATCCCAGTTTCTCCTAGATGTGGGGTTGATTACTGCATTAGTGGAGAGGTGGAGGCCTGAGACGCATACCTTCCACATGTCCCCTGAAGAGTGTACTATTACTCTTCAAGATGTTGCAATCCTGTTAGGATTACGTATAATTAGGAGACCAGTTATAGCACCTACTGGAGGTGATTGGGCGCAGATTGTGGAAGACAGCTTAGGTATCAGACTAGGACCTGAGCATTTTGTAGGGAGTTTCTTGAAGATAAGCTGGTTAGACATCCACTTTACTCATATTAGTATGCATAATCACAGTCCTATGCAGATTACTCGATTTGCTAGGGCATATATATTGAGGCTTATTAGAGGGTTCATTCTTGCTGATCACTCTAGCAGTAGGGTATCTATTAGATACTTACCTTTACTTGAAGATTTTGAGTTGACCGGTCAATATAGTTGGGGCTCAGCAGTTCTAGGTTATTTGTACCGAGAGCTATGCATGGCCACTAACATTGATCATGTTGCTATTGGAAGACTTGCTGCGTTGGTTGTGATGTGGGCTTGGGATAGATTTCCTGATATAGCACCTAGTAAACCCCCCTATACACGTCTCAATCTTCCGTATGGTGTCAGGTAAGTTTTTATTGTTATTGTTATTGTCTGTCTATGCATACATTCTATATAATGTTATTTATCGATCATGTAATATTTTTATTAAACATTATTTGCAGATGGTTGTCACAAGGAATGAGGAAAGGAAGGAAAGATGTACAGTACTACAGATATCTCTTTGATCGTGTATGACGTGATGAGGTAATATAGCCTAATTTATGGTGAAATAGGTAAATAAAATTAGATAACATTAATGGTGTTTATCGTATTTTTATTCTTTCATGTAGATTATATTGGTGCTATACAACATGGAACTTATCAACATGCTTCCACCCATCTGTAGAGACGGTATAGATTTATGGAGGGCGGTTGTGCCACTTATATGTTTTCAAGTTTGTGAGTGGCATCAACCTGACCGAGTGATGCGTCAGTTTGGTATGGTTCAGCATATACCAAGGGCTCCTTATCAGCCTGACCAGCTTCATGACCTTACCCATAGAGGAAAGACTGGAGAAAATTGGTCAGCAAAATTCGGTGCTATTTTAGATATTTGGGAGAGTAGACGCTTGTGGGTTATGGCTAATGAGATGCAGTATGGATTACTCAGTTCTAATTCAGAATACATGCGATGGTATATTACTCACACTCGTCGTTGAATGACCAGGGATGTAGCCATATCAGCTCTGTCGGTATGTTGTTATTTTATTTAATTATTGAGACAATTTTGTATATACAAATATGTTAAACTCATTTCATTTTCAGGGTGATGCAATGGAGAGATTGCATTACTTAAGTACTGATGGACAAGATGATTTTACCTTTGAAGAGTTGAAGGACTTGTCTGAGACTCTCCTATCACTAAAAAAGGAGCATGATCGCATATTAGAACCTGTTTCATGTTCAAATCCTCCAGTGCAGAATGGCAATCCACAACATCCAGACTTACACGTAGATCAGCCACAACAACGAAGAGAAGGAAAGGGTTTGGGACGTCGACGACGACAAGTGTACGCAGCAGAGTGGTCCGTTCCAGCCATCGCACAGCGCCCTGATGGTATTTTCCCCATACCATCACAGTTCTCTTTCCAGACATCCAATGTACACAATGCCCCCACTTATTTCCATTCATCACAGGGAAGACACCATTCATCACAGCCCCCATCATCACCATTCACAGGAGTAGAAGATTATAGTCCACGACCTGATTTCTTTATGACACCTCCTCATGATCACCAATCTCTTTTGACTCCAGGTGCCCCATACATGGAAGCTGACCCTATACCATCCTTTATGCCTCCGATGGATTTAGGGATTGATCTGAATGCTGAGTTTGGGGCTGTTGCCGATGTTGGACTGATTCGGCGAAATCCACATCGAGGAGCTCGAGATAGACAGAGACAATGCATCTTGACTCCAGAGGTTCATGATCATCATGCACACATGGCAGACCAGCCATGAGATGTAAAACTGTTGTATGTTTAAAACTTTTCACAACTAATGTATGTGGCGAAAATAACATTCGCATTAATATTTCATCACATCCTTCATCTTTACAATTACATCATTTTTGCTTTTACATATTACACTCAGTTTTGTTGACGACAATGACGTCGATTATGACCAACTTCGTTACAATGTGAACACCTTTGTCTAGTTTGTGATTCAACCCAGTCCATTTCATTCCTAATACGAGTTGACTTAGGTCGTCCCTTAGCTCTAGCTCTTTCAATGTCAGGCACCAACTTCCATTCACTGTTTGTATGAATGTTGCATTCATTACCAAGGGGGCGCCACTGTGGAGAGTATGCACTGACAACATATTCTATTGAATAAACTGGGTCAACATATTGCCAAAAATTAAGACTTACAGCTATATAGGCCGCTATGACATGCGAACAAGGCGATATTTAATTAACTCTAAATGTCCGTATGTGGCTTTAACCAGTGCAGTTATGGGTATATTTCTAGCACCTTTAAACACCTTATTCACAACTTCTGAAAGATTTGTGGTCATGTGACCATAACGTTGCTCATCGTCATCATAACATAATGCTCATTTCTCTTTTGATATGCAATCAATCCACCTTTGTATATCTTCAGATTCATTACGAAATCTACTTAACTTTTGCTCAAATATTACCTTGGATGGTGTATAACCTACACATAAAACATTATTTTTAAACCAGTGGATTAAATTTGGCTAAACATTTAATTAACTCTAACATATATCTAAATTAAATAAATTATAATCACATACCTAATTTTATGAGGTCTTTCTTCAAGGCGATATTTTTAAATCGGTGATTAAAGTTGCTGGCAATATGACGAATGCAGTATACATGATATGCATTTGGAGGTTGCCACCCAATGTGTGGATTTGAGACAGCTCCTTTGATACTTTGATGCCTATCTGATATCAAACAAATTCCAGACTTATCAGTAACATGCAAACGAATCAATGCCAAGAACCATTCCCATGCTGACAAGGTTTCTCCTTCAACAATTGCAAAAGCTATTGGAAGGACACAATTGTTTCCATCTTGAGTTGTTGCAATAAGCAACGTATGACGATACTTACCATATAAGAACATCCCATCCACTTGCAATAAAGGTTTGCAGAATTTAAAAGCTTCATGACATTGTTTAAATGACCAGAACACTCGTTCAAATACTCTATATCTGTTATCCACTTGATGAGAAGCCACATACTCCTTCGTTTCAACTTTATAAACAGATCCAGGAGCATGTAATTGCATGTATTCTAACCAATGTGGCAAGGTAGCGTATGATTCATCCCAGTCACCAAATACTTTGACAACAGCTTTTTGCTTCGCCATCCAAGCTTTTTTATATGAAATTTTGTATCCAAACTGAGCGCAGATTCTCTCTTGTATCAATGAAATATGTATTGACGGCTCTTCATTCACCATTCCTACATAAGAATCAATTGGTCTAATTAATAACAATGTAATTGTAAAAAAAATAAATAACATATATAAAATATGTCTTACCAAGAATGCATGAAGAAATTAAATCAGAATCTAACTTTTGATGATCTTGAGAAATTCTAACATTAACACATGTATGTGAACCACCCCACCTCGTTATTTTCCACTTGTTTGAATTTTTCAACAATGAAACTCTCACTCTCCATGGACAACCAGAAGTATGGTTTAAGCATTTAACATACAAACATGTTGGTTTCGACTCAGCCACAAAATAACTTTGATGAATCTTCATTGCGTAATGTTTTAATGCATTTTTCATATCTTCTTTACTGTCAAATAACAACCCAACGAATAAAGAATCTCCTTCAACTTCTGAATTGACATCTTCACAATGTTCTTTATTCATTTCTTGATCAGGATATTCCCAATTAATATACTTATACTGTGGAGTAACATTCCAAAAAGGAATCACAGTATCTCCTGCATTATATTTTGCAAAATTATTTACCATTAATATTTACATATTAAACTAAAAACAAATAATTTTTTACAATATTGCACATTACCTCCTGTACTTTCGTTTACTTGTGTATTTAAGTTTGAATGAAACTCGCCTTCAGCATCAGTAGAGGAAGAACTGTCTAATGAAATATCTGCTTCATCATCTTTATCAGTGTCACTCTCATAATCTGAATCTTCATTATCTTCATCAACATCATTTCTAACTCCTTAATGGAAAATTTTTTACACTTTCAATACAAAATATGACATATATTAATAAAAACATTTACATAATTTATAATTTTACCTTCGACACGATCACAACTCACAACAGTGTTATCATTTTGTTGTGAAATTGATAAATTTAAATTGATCATCTGCAATGGCACTGATGAACTTTCACCAACAGCAATGTCTACATATAACTCAATAACATTTCTACTAGATTGTTGTTCAAATGCACTTATCATGCAATCAATATCTTCATCATTACATATATCTAAAGCTGTATATTGTCTACTATTTTCATCAATCAAAAAATGAGAAATTAATCTACAAATTACTTGATTATTATTAAGATTAAGTTTCAAATGAATTTTTCTTTTCAAGGCTTCAAAACTTATTCCTCGCTGTATCTGAATCACTCTCTTACTTCCATCAAAGCTCACTCCTTCATTTCCTTCATATATTCTACCATTCCAATATATAATAGTAACAATTCTACTCATCCTGCATTTTTACAAATAAACTTTATTTAATATTTAATTTTAAATAATATAAAAATATAAATAATACCAAAATTGAATAAATAAAACTAACCTTTCTCCTTCCTCCTTCCTCCTTCCTGTTTTTCGATTGCAAAATGAGCCTCGGATGAGAGGGGGCAAGGGTGGGAATAAATAATACCAGGTTTCGCCAAAAGATCTGCGTTAAAAACGTTTTCGCAGGAAAAATGGCGAAAGAGGACTAATTACCACTTTTGAGAGCGGTTATTCTTGAACCGCTCTCTTATGAGAACTTCTGAGAGCAGTTCTTTTTGAACCGCTCTCCAAGATTGACTTCTGAGAGCGGTTCAGTTTGAACCGCTCTCTTAGATGAGATTTCTGAGAACGGTTCAGTTTGAAGAACGGTTCAGTTTGAACCGCTCTCTTAGAGGGACATTAGAGAGCGGTTCCTAATGAACCACTCTCTTAGATGGGATTCAGAGAGTGGTTCAAACTGAACCGCTCTCTAATGTGTCTACTTTTTCATGTTTCGCTGGGTGAATGGCAAAATTACTTTCAACTTTCGCCTTTCGTTTGGCGAAACTTGTTTTATAATATTAAAATAATAAGTTTCGCCAGCCGTTTTGGCGATATGTATGCGCTCCAACCCTAGACAGGGAAATTGTTTGAAAAATACACTATTTTAATAAATTATTTTTTATTTTACAATATTTAAATAAAAAAGCCTGGGATTTAATTACACAAATATATAATACTAATTATGAACCAATTACAAAATCACTTAATTACAGTAGATATTGTGATTCATGAACCAATTACAAAATCACTTAATTACAGTAGATATTGTGATTCATGTGTAGATAATTTATGTGAAATGTGATTTTTTTATGATAAAAAAATTAAGATTTTTTTTTCTAATTACATCTTTTTAATCCTAGAGTTTTAATGAGATAAATCTAAAAAGTAATAAAATATATTTTTGTAACAGTAAAAATAACTTTGTCACTGTATTTATTAATTTTAAATATTTTTTATCATGAATTTAGTTGTTAGACCTACGCTATATTTTAAGTAGATCAGTATTAATTGTCTAAATTTTATAAATAAATAATCATATTATTAATAAATTTAAATATTATTAAATAGATCATAATATTAATTTATTTTTAATAAAATAAAAATCACAGTTAATTGTACTTCATAATAAATTTTATGAAAAATTCTACCGATTACCGGCTTTTGCACGGAGGCCAATGTTGGATTAGCACACGAGACGAGGAAATCTATCTAATATGCATGGATAGATTGAAACAAGGGCCATGTGTTAAAGAAGAATGGTGGGTTAGAGGGATTAGAGATATTTAGTTATTTAGTGTTGCATTAATTGGGAAATGAGATGAAGATAATTAGTTGAGGTTTAGGGTTATGGCACTGTAATCTTTAAAGTCTAGATATGTATCATGGAGAAGTGGAGTGGTAGCTAAAGGTGAGGATTAAATTTTTTGTTTTTATTTTTATAAAATTATTTTTTAGTTTTTATATTTTAAAAATATATTAATTTTAGTTTAGTCACTGCTAAATAATGTAGTTAATTTAAATGTAATTACATGTCACATTTTATGTTATGTGTTATTTTTTATGAAATTATATTAAAGAGGAACTAAAATTATTATTTTAAAAATATAGAGACAAATAAAAAAAATATTTTAAAAAATATATATTTTAAGAAATAAAAAATAATTAAACCCTAAAATAATTTAGTGGAGCGTCTATTTGATGGATGAATTTGGTAAAACAATGAAATGAAAATCATGAATAAAAAATAAGGTAAAGAACGGTTTAATAATAATATATAAGAGGGATGTTTATTTCTGACGTGATACATTTGTTTGCGGAATGAAACACGAGAGATTATTTGTATTAGGTTAAAGTAAGTTATTCGTTTAATTAAGTTTTAAATCAATAAATTTAAAGTATGTTAAGGTTAAAAAATATTATAAATTAAAAGTTTTATTTTTTGTTTATTCAGTCTAATAATATGTAATTTTTTAAGTGTATAGAGATTTGGATAGTTATCTATTATGCGATGGTTCAAAATTTTATTTACTTAAAATTTGCAAGTGAAATAATTTAAAATTTTATCTAATAAAAAATATAAATAATAAAATTATGTTAGAAATTCATAAATATAAATAAGTTTCACGTGAATACACTTTTGGATATAGAAAACATATTACTTCTCTCTTTAATAAAACCTTATCTCTTAAAAAGGACCCCTTATTGCTTTAACAATCACTTTAGAGCTAGACAATTAATAAAAAATCACATAACAATCAATTCTTATTTTTAGACTAACAGTTACTTTAAACATGAACACTTCACCAATATTGTCACGATAAAAGCGATCCTAAAAAATAGATAAAAGGAAAAAACATGTTGCAACACAAGTTTTATGTTTTTCTGTTTGCGTTATCCTTGAAAATACGACTAATATAAGCTAAGAATCTTCACAATATATTTAATTTTTTTAAGATAACACCTGAAGAAATAAGACAAAATGCATACAAATTGTTTGAACCAAGAAAAAAGTTAGCAATTAAGCGTGTGTTTGTATGAGATTATTTTTGTTCATCATTTGAAAAAAGGCTTTTAAAAAATACTATTAATTTTTGGTTGTCAAATTTTAAAAAATGAGTTTATAATTAATCTTTAATTATCTTTCTTGCAAAAAAAAAAAATCAAGATAAGCAAATTTTTTGAGCTTAATTTTTAGGTATTTTTTCATTTTATTCTTATAATTAATTATTTTAAATACAAACTAATTAATAGCGATATTTTATAATTTTTTTCAATAATTTCAACCTAAAAAATCTTATATGCAATCATAAGGTATGGCTGTCTAAAGTCTAAAGTGAGCAATAAATGGACGATTGGAATGTGGATAGAGAATACCAACAACTTACCAAGAAAGCTTTTCTTCTTTTAACATGGACACCGACGCATGCGCACAATTATAAACATTGAACATTAATATATAAATCGTGCTTCTCTTGTCAAAACGAAACAATTTTGTAAAGGAAAATAGAAGGCATCTCCAAAACATACAAGGAACCGAGAAAGAATTAGGTGATGAGCGATGCGTAATTGAAGTAATATTGTGGAGAACACTTGTCAAGAATTAGCGTCCTTAATGTATGTTCGAAGCTAAGATCCTCGTTCAAGTGCTATTGTATGTTCCTTATGATACCCACCTAATTATGATAAGTACTTATAGTATTCTTCACTAGCTTTATTCCAAGACCTGAATCGCAATGCCAAATAAGTTTCCTTATCCTTGATTCTAAACAAGCCGCAGACCATTGAACAAAACTAAAAGCTCTGTTTGAAGATTAGCTGTAACTCCTATGGAGCCAGGAAAACCAGTAAGCCACCCAGCATTAACTGATAGCAACTCAAGCCCAATCGATGATGGTCCAAAAACCAATTGCTGCTGCTGATGAAGGAAGGCCCAAAAGGTTGACTTGGGTTTCTAGAGATTGGGATGAATTTGTCCATTAAGTCATAGTTATCCTTTTATCATGTAAGGGTGAGCTGTCATATATTCCCTGTGTTGTTATTTTTGTTGTCAAGAACCGTTATTACATGTATGTATGATTTGTCATAGATGGTAATGAAAAAGAAAGAAAGACAAACAAGTATTATTTTTAAAGATTCTGATTTCTCTCTTTGGAGGTTCTTCCTTGCCTCAAATCCAGGAAATTTTCATTATTTCAAATTCCTATCGTTAACATTCCTATATAAGTAGTCCGCCAATACCTGCTCTGCATGGAGTATTTTATTTTTACAACTATTTTATGTAACTTTTATACAATAGAGAGAAAAATTAGAAAAGAAGAGAGAAAAATGTTAGGCTGATAGAATAGTCAATAGAAAAGTGTTGCGGTGAAATTCGTAACGAGTAAATAAATAAATTCTCTTTTTTACAAAAACTTCAAACTTTGAAGTTCTTCCGAATTTCATTAAAATTAGTCAAAGTGCAGGACCTTAAGATCACGTTACTTCTAGTCAAATTTTATTCAAGAACAATAATTTTTTGAGATGTATTGAAATTTCAAGAAAGAGAGCTCATTCATCTGCCACAAACTCTATTCAGCAATGTTTTATGACTTAGTAAAATTTTTCTTTTCTCAGACAAAAAGAAAGATAAAGTAAAAACAAATGTTGTGAAGAAAAATATGAATATAATATAAAACCTTTAAAAATCATCCATTAGAAGAGAAACATAATAAATCACCTAGTTTAAGTAGACACTAGTACAGGATCGATCCTTCCATCCCCACGAAAGTTCTTCAGAGGACAAATCAACTACATATTATATTGACACAACCACTGCGGATGCAAGCAACTTTCGCTCTTCAAGAAATTACATGTTGCTTTCCCACTCGAAATTACTTATTTGGAGATACATTTAGCAATTTAAATTGAACAAGAGTTCGTTGTTGTACGAGCCCAACAAATACATTTTTTAAAGCTTCAACGAGTCCTTGTTTTATGACAGAATTAAAATGCTCATATTCTCCGTTCGTGAATACCAAGCCAACCTCAATTCCTCCATCATTGCCTCCACTTTCAGCAAGAGACATACACTTAAAGGGATGTACCATCTCTACTTTGGTAGGTCTTCCAAATCCAAAATCAGTTTCATGAACATTGAACTTTGGCGACCCGGTAACTAGGACCGTGCTTTCCAATGCATGCATCTTTCTAAACATTGCCTTCCAGTTTTTTGCACCTTCAAAGGGTTCAGTTTTCAATTTAAGATTGTATATTCTTAAATTTTAAATTGTTTTAAATAATTGCTATTTTTAGAGATTTTCTTGCTAGAAAAATTGAATTGAAAGGTTTGAATAGGGAATACGAGTGTAATTTTTATTTTATATTTTTTACACAAATATAATTTGTAAGATATGACTGGTAAGCCATAACATGTTCCTATGCTTTTTAGGAACTAGTGAAAATATTTCCTTCATTGTATCAAGGCATCAGTGTAGGAAGAATAATCCTATTCTATTTATATGATAATTGGTTGGAAATGAGACTTGTTATCATTAATTGGAAGAAATTCATATTTCACAAATATTTGGAATAATCACGTATAAACCGAGAGGAACTTATACACCCTTTCGATAAAGGATGTCGAGCAAATACTCATTAGTCAACTCTGTTATAAATGACAACTATTGACAGATAGTTTTGGAGAAGTTCAAACTTAGAAGAGGATACAACACCCCGGTGGTTATATATATAACCTTTTTTACAAGAACGCCGTGTTTGAAAATTATCAGTACCTCCTATAAAGCCAGAAAAACCTGTAAGACATTCACCATTTTGATTCGTAAGTAGTCCACCGATTCCCCTCTGCGTGGACTATTTTGTTTGTACAACTATTTTATGTAAAATATTTAACAATGAAGGGAGAAAATAGAAGAGAAGATAGAATTGTAAAATAAAGAAGATAGTTAATATGAAATAAGGATAAAGTGGAGAAAATTTATGTTGGAAAGAAAATATGAACGGTATAACTCCTTAAAAAGTATCCATTAGAAGAGAAACATAATAAATCACCAACTCTAATAGACACTAGCATAGGTACTTGACTACCCACGAAGTTCCTCGGAGGAAAAATCAACATAGACTTATTATTGACACAACCCACAATGCAGATGCAAGCAATCCCTTCAAGAGATTACAAGTTGCTTGTCCCGCCCGAATTTATTTATTTGGAAACAGATCTATTTAGTTTGATTTTAGTAGGAACCACACAAATACATTTAGCTTTTTATAGCTTCAACAAGTCCTTGTTGAATTGCAGAATTGAAATGCTCATATTCCCCGTTCCTGAATAACAAGCCAACCTCAATTCCTCCTTCCTTGCCTCCACTATCAGCAAGAGACATACACTTGGAGGGATGGAGCATCTCCACTTTGACAGGTCTTCCAAATCCAAAATCAGTGTCGTAAACATTGAACTTTGGCGATGAAATAGCTAGGATTGTACTTTCTAATTCAAACTTAGTTCTATACCTTGCACTCCAATTTTCTGCACCTTCAAAGGGATTTTTTTTCATATTGGATACTGCTATTTCAATGGCCTTGACTGCATTTAGAAAACCACCTTCTCTCATTAGCTCCTTTATCTTCAGCTCTGCATGCCACGTGACTATGCAGTTTCCAATGTATGTTTCTGGCACATGGTTTTCAAGGCGACCTCTGCAGTCTGCGGCAAAACCAAAATAAATAAACTCATCTTTCATCTTTTCTTGTACTTGTTCATTATTCTTTCCATATCTTGTTTTAGCCAAGTTAGACCACACGAAAGCGCATGTTACCACAAATTTTGATAGATATTTTGGTACTGTAAATTCATCATTTTCTTTCCATTCATTCAGCCCCCTTGTTTTCAGCCTCTCGATTTCATCTTTTTCAAAAACAATCGTTGCCTTAACATAGTCTTCATCCACATGGGCGCACTCTTCAGTTTGACTTTGACCAACAACTTTTTTCTTCCAAGTTGACCTAATTTCAAGGTAGTCTCTTTTGAATATGGCCTCGAGTCCCTTGGGGACCTTCAGGACTTCCCTATCAAAGCATGGTGGTGACTTCTCCACAGGTGTGAGGTCAATGCCACCGCTTCGACAAATGGAAGACCAAGCCCTCATGAAATGACTGCAACTCTTATCATCGATGGCATGGCGATAATCGATGGCAATGCAAAGACCATGGTTGGGGAAAACTGTGGCTTGCAATGTCAGCATTGGGAAGATGAAGGTATCATCATGGAGGGTCGAGTATGTCAACTTGGGAACCAATGGATCTGACTCCAATGGGCTTTTGGGATATTTGGATAAGAGATGGTTGAAATCTGCATGGGATTCAAAGATGGTAAAGATGACAGAATCTTGATGGGTGCATAGAATATAAGGGTTTTGGGGTGGCGGTGGAGAGATGAGATTTCCCGCGAGAGGGTAGTAATGTTGAAGTGTAAGTGAGAGAGAATGTTTGAGTGTGGGGAGTGTAGTTTCACAAAAATGACTTGTGGTATGTGGAAATTGATAGAAGAATTGACGCGTCACAGTTGCAGGACCTGAAATATGTAAGTCTAGGAATGAGAGGGGAACGGACGTGTCTTTGGTTTTCATAGGAACAACCTCACATTGCTCGACAAGCTTATACTCGCTAGCCTTTGCCATTTGTTCTACAATATCTCACTTAACACTGAAGCAAACCTATTGCGCACTAACAAGCATATTCTAGAGATGTATATGTAGTAGTACTCATTTAACCCATCTCTTATTTTTCCAGCTCTTTGGATTCAATGTCCAAAGATGAAATCTATCTTTAGTGGATCTTCTCATTTATTTCATCAAACGTGGATAATATAATTAACTACAACGTGTCCCGCATGCATGCATGCAATTGTTTAATTATTAATTTACTTACTCAGCAATAATTGTATTCTATTTTAAATTTTTAAGTAAACATATCTAGATCAATTCTTTTGACAGAGCTGTTAAGAAAGAGATCCGATCGAGGTTGACTGCGGAGAAAAACTGATGAACTTAAGCCTGCAATGTGGGGAGAGAAACTGATGTGTGTATCATGTGATATATGATTGGTAACGTAGTATAAAAAGAGTTATGGTATTTTCAAGTATTATTTTTATCATTAAAACTTCGCACGTCATATGTCACACTGCATATGACTTTTCTTTAAAAAATTTTATTTATCTACGTATTTCAAAATATTTTTTAAAAATAAAAGAACACCTAAAATTAGAAGTGTTTAAAATCGAAATCCAAAAAATTATATTTTACATTGTAATTTGGTTCGATTTTCAGTTCTTGTTATAATCAAATTTAATCAAACCAAACAGCACCTATAATATATCTATATTATCCCATATTATATTTAATATTAAATATTGCGTCTTGTCTAATAATGGCATACTCTTTCTATTTTACTTGCCCCCTTAACTAAGGTATGATAGAAAGAAAGTCAACTTGTTTTCTACTTTTTCAAACTATATTTAACGGAGACGGTATATTTAAAAGAATCGATAAAATAAACAGTAACTATAGTTAGTAAGTCTTATATAATGATTAATAAAAGCAACAAAATTTTGAAATTTATAAGGATCGATAAAATAAAAATATAATTAATATTTAGAATTTTAATAAAAGTTTGAAGTTTGGCAAAACTCTAGAGAAGATATGCCAAGCTAGCTAATCAAAGGAAAGCAGAAAAAAAAAACATGTGTATCCCTATAAGATATTTTTCTTAAGCTATTTTTAAGAGTTAGTGTTTAGAAAAAAAGAGTTAAGTCAAGCTAATCTTTCCTTTAAAGTTGTTTAATTCGAACAAATTTTTTGAGTTATCCATTATGAAAGTTTTCTTTCTCTCACTTTCTATACTCTTTTTTAAATAAAAATGTTAGTTTTCCAAGTGATAATTTTTTAAAAAAATTTATAAAAAATAAAAATATTAATTTTAAAATTATTAATTTTTTAAAAAAAATTATTTTTTTAAAAATAAAAAATAAAAAAATATAATAATATCATTTATATAATTAAATTTTCTATCATTCTTCCATTTTAATATTAAACATTCAAAAGAACTTCTCCCTCCCTTCCCTTCTATTCCTTCCTTCTTCAAATTCTTTCTTTAAACTTTCAAACAAAATCTTACAAAACAAGATAAAATTTAAGCTTTTGATGTACATAATTAACTAAATTCACAACAAGTATTATAGTTTCTCAGCAAGGATAATATAAATAATTTCAATTTTGTGTCTAAATAAAGATGTAAATTCTAAATTTATCACTTTCACTTACATTTATGTGGAAGATTACACTGGAATTTTAATAAATTATCAGTATTCTTAAAGTTAAATAAATATTTTAATTCATATATAAAGTGATTGAGAACTACAATAATATCTGAATAACGTAAATTGATGAGACCTTTTTTTTTTACAAAAATAAAAAAAAAATTCTTTAATTTGGTATCTTGAGACTATGTGCATATTTTACATTTTAAAATTTATTAGGTTTTTATTATTTTCTAATGGGTCAAAAATATATTTCCACTCATTAAACTATTTTTATTTTGTAATTCAAAAATTTTACTAAAATTAAGCTTACCTTAATTAAAAATAATAATATTTTAACAATTTCTCATTTGAATTTCATATTATTAACTCATTTTACATCACAAATACTTTTGGTGCATAACTGAATGCTATTTACTTTTAAATTGTGCTTTAACAATTTAGTTCATCTTATATAGCTATAAGGAACTAATGTAATTTTTATCACTCTGCCATGTGACTAAACTACACTAATTACCACAACAACATATATTCAATGACAGATTAAATAACGATGACGAGCATAAAAATTGCATCCAATGTAATTATGTTTATTTTTAAATGGTCTAAACTTTATTTTTTATAGAAATCAATCCAAAACAAAATATCATTTTTGTCTTAAACTAGTTTAGAGTATAATATATATATATATATATATATATATATATATATATAAAATCTAAACAATTGTACTATAAAGAGGTTGAATTCTCATTCAATTTTCATTTGGTTCCTTGTGAGCTAATTTGTAAGATTTCACTAGAGAAACTCACAACATTAAACATATATATATATATATATATATATATATATATATATAGAGAGAGAGAGAGAGAGAAGGAGAGAGAGAGGATTTATTGATAAGACTTACACCAAATTTTAACCGTATAAATCAAAATAATCTAACGGTTGAAAAGTTACCTCTTTTTATTTATTTATTTTGTATACTTTTCTTCTCCCTCTTTTCAACTGTTAGATTATTTAATTTGTACAGTTACGATTTGGTGTAAATCTAGTGTCAATGGGTCTTATTATATATATTATAAAAGAAGAATATCCAAGCAATTTACAACATAAAACTTAAATGTTGTCTTGTTTTATACTATCGTCAAAGACAATAAACTTAAACATCATCCTCTATTGTTGAAGTTGTTTCTTCAATACCAATAAAGATAATGACTTGATCATCGTTAGTAATAGGATCTTTTTCAAATACAATACTCCTTATGTTCTTTTCCTTCTTAAACTCAACATTTTTAAGAGATCTTGCATTTTTTGTTTCAAATAAGAATCTAGAAGTGAGGTTGTAAAACTTATATCTTGAGAGTACTCAACATTGCCAACAAAATGACAACTAATTGTTCTTGAATTCAGCTTTTTTCTCATGTGACCTATAAGTTTATACTTTAGCTGGACAACACCAAATGTGCAAGTGTTTAATGCTTGACCTTTTGCCTTTCCAAAACTCATATGGATTTTGTCAACTACCTTACTTGATACCTTATTAAGGATGTAAACTATAATTTTAAAGTTTCTTCTCAAAGAGACTCTAGCAAGAAAAAATGATTGATTATACTTCTCACCATATTCTTAAGAAAAAAATGTAAATGGTCGTAGACATTGTTTCTCCTACCCTATTATATCTACCATAGTATTTATCACTAGGTAAAGTTTGATAGCTTTAATTTTCTTTGCATGTTGAAATTCAACTTCAGTCTTCAAAGATTTAAAATGTTTAGGGATTGATACTTTTCATGTATTAGATATAGGTAGTTGTATCTATAGGAAAATCTATGAACATAATGAAATATTGTCTGTCCCAAAAAACTTTTGGGTGACCACAAATATCAATATGTATTAATTTCAAAACATCATCACTTTTATGACACCTAATTTTCTTATGTTTGTTTGTTTACCATTAATGTATTCAACACATGCTTCAAAGTTGACAAACTTAAAGGTTCAAGAATTTCATCCTACACAAATTTATGAATTCTTTATTTAGTTATATAACCTATATAGTTGTGCGATAAAATGGTTGCATCATCATTCAATTTTCATTTTGTTCCCTATGAGTTAATTTGTAAGATTTCACTAGGAAAACTCACAACATTAAGCATATATAGATTATTAATTAAAGGACAAAAACTAACAATATTTAAATTTTAGTAAAAACAAAATTTATTATTTTCAAATGAACAAGAAAAAATAAATTTGTCAAACATAGAAATAGAAACCATATTCCATCTAAAAGACGATACAATAAACGTCTCAAATAAATCCAAACAAAATTCAATTTTTAATTGTAATCTAAAAGTTCAAATAGCCTTTACGATAACTTTACTACCATTGTCTACAAAGATAATTCTTTCATTATCACCTAGTAGTCGATTAGACAAATAATTCTATGTAGTCATATTTATATGAATAGTAGCATTAGAATTCAACCATCAAGTATTTTCATGAACAAAAGTAAATTAACTTCAAAGCAAACCAAAGCAAGAAATTTACTTTTTTTTTACACACTATGCATCGTTCTTAGAGCACTCCTTCTTCAAGTGCCCTACCTTCTTATAAAAGTAGGTAAACTCTTCATTCTTTTGTTTCTTTTGCTAAGAAGCCTTTGACAGCAATCTTAGTGTTCTTTCTTTACTTATTCTAAGAGGTGAATGCCAAGTAAACACTTCTAATCTTTTTTCTTTGTTGCCTTTCCTTTTCTTGTAAGTAATGAAAAAATCTTATTCAATAATTATTTATCCTTCTAAATATTATAACTCACTTTAAATTGGCCAAATTATGTAAGAAGAAAAATCAAAATCAAATATATGGGTAAGTCATTAGACAACTCTAACTTTAATGACTTGAGGTTTGAGGCAAAATTGGACATCTCCACACTGTATTCTCTTATATTACTTTTACCTTTGTATCCTATTGAGACAAACTTGGCAAGAAAACTATTTGCTTTAGCCTTCTTATTCTTAGCAAAATACTTCTAGTAACATCAAGGAAATCCTTAATGTCCTCATTTTTAGAGATAACATTACACTATAAAAGAGATTTGAGAGGAGTGTGCATAAATTTAGAGTGTTTTGCAATGCTATAAAATGTTGTGCTATGTAAGTGTGTTGTATATCACAAAATGACTAAATAATAGCTCTCAAAAATATATTATATAAGTGTGTTGCATATCAGAGAATTGCTAAATAACTGACTGTTCTTAGAACTATAAATTGAAAAACAGTTTCACGTAAAGCCATTGTCAAAAATGTAATTTAGAGAGCAATTTAGTCCTTAAAAAATGTTTAATGCTTTTTACTAAATTATTATAGTGACCAATTGTGTTTTTATTAGATCAAAACATAATAGTTCCTTTATGCTATTTTTTATGATTCTATTATGAATTCATAAACCGCTCTCAATTCAACCTAGGTTGAGTTGGTTCACATTGAGTAGTAGGTTAACGTAAGTGGGAGCTAGGGATTAAAAAAAATCTATAGTAATTCAAATCTACAAAAATCTATAGTAAGTCTCTCAGTTAATTAACTGTCTTCATAAAGTTTTGTATCTTCAATAGTAACAACATTACTCTGGTCTCATTATCCTGTTTACCTAAATTTAAAATTAAATATTAATTTTGTTAATAAATTCTAATATAAAATAAATTAATAATTTTAATTTTGCAACTGACAATTTTACTTTTAAATAAATATTATCTAAAAAAAATATTCATTTAAAGAAATTAATGTAGGGGCTGGTGACGGCTTGCGCAATATGCCCCAAATCTCCATGAGTCTGGAGTTAAATGAGTTAAGTTAAATAGGTTATTTACACCTTCAATTTAAAGCTTAAGCTATTTGTTTATCTTTCTTGAGTACTTTTGGGTTAATCTATGGGATATATTCATAGATTCATTTTGTCGGTTCTTGCCTTTGTAATATTCTTTTATGGTTCTACTATGAAGTCAGATTATTGTACTAAGGACACGATTTCATTAAGAGGAAAGTTTATTTACCTTTGAGCAAAAGCTTCCAAGACAAGAAGAAAAAAATACATGCACTCACAAAAATAATGTGAAAGATACATATCATTGATAACTGATGTGAATGGCAACAGTTTAATCACGAACTGCAATATTACTAAGCTGTTGTTCCATGATGTTTGTGAAATTCGTCATTCGAATCCTTTCTAGTGCAATTCCAACTTGAACTCCACCTTGGGTGTCCCTACAATCGGTAAGAGAAATTGTTCCCACAGAATCAAGATTAACCACTTCAGACTTCCTAGGCTTTCCCCACCCGAAGTCAGTGTTGTACGCGGTCAATTTCGGTGAGCCAACAATTACTACAAGAGATTGACCACTTTTCACCAATTCTCTAAAATCTGACATCACTGTTTCTGCCCCACTCAAAGCATCAATCTTGAAACCCCTAATCATCCTCTCAATAGCTTTTGCCGCCACAATAACCCCGTTTTCTCCCTCTAGCGCACTCCTTTTCACAGACGTAACAAGTGGAACTAAGCAATTTCCAAAGTAATTAGATGGCAACAAAAATTGAGGATGATCATGACAATCCGCTGAAAACGCCAAGTTGCATGGTTCATCATAGTACTCTTCTGTAACATAACTACCTTCCTTTTCCTTCAGTTCTGATTTTATCATACAAACCCACATCAAAGAACACGTCACCACAAAGGTTGATATGTGTAACGTCCCTGAACTACCGTGACTGTTATTATTACATTTAAGATAAACCCATCTTTTCATTCTCTCGGCTTGTTCGCGATCAAATGTAAGATTGGCACGTACCTTATCAGCGGAAACACGACGTAAAATCCCTGCGAACTGCGTGCTTTGCGACATCAAGTTTCTCATGTCTTGTAAGTAAATGAGCTTGAGCCCTTTCGGGTCGTTCACTATGTCCCTATCATGGAAGGGTAGAGAAAGAGAACCAAAGGCTTGAAGGGAAGCCAAATCCCCTTTTGATTTGCAAACAGAGGCCCAAAACTTCATGAAATGATGAAGCGTTCTGCCATCCCCTGCCACGTGGTTGAAGATAACACAAATGCTAAATCCAGAGTTTGGTATAACGGTTACCTTGATGGCCATGAGAGGGAACTCGCAGGTTCCATCGTGCATAGTACGAGGCGAAGGTAACACCGGAACAAGCGGTTGCCAGTCATTGACGTCTTGTGGCGAATCAGATGTGAGGGTTGTGAAGTCTGCGACAGACTCAGCGACGGTGAAGGAGAGAGAGTCACCATCAAGGTAACGGATGTAAGGGAAACGTGGCTGTGGAGGAACGATGAGGTTGGAGGCGAAAGGGAAGAAGTGTTGGAGAGTAAGAGAAAGAGAGTGTTTGAGAATGGGAAGTGCTGTTTTGAGGAAATGTTGAGTGGGATGAGGAAATTGGTAGAAGAAGATGCGTGTTGCGTGGCGGCTGAAAAACCATTGAAGGTCAAGGAAGGTGAGGGGGAGAATGGTTGGGGTAACGGAGTGTGGTGGGGGAGAAACTTGAGAGTCATCTATTATGTCTTTAGCCATTGATGTGCTTTGATTCTGAAAAGAAGAGAGAGAAGCCGCGGACTCGGCGAGTACCATGAAAGGGATGTGTATCCGTCAAGCTTAATTTTGAATAACGCTCAAGCTTCATAATGTTGCACAGATAAAAAAATCTTAATTTTGAATAGCCACCTAATTAACACTTCATATTTTTTATATATACACTTATTTTAAAATGATATTTTATATAAAAAAATGAACCTACAAATTTTTATTTTAACAACACTTGTAGTATATTTATATTATTTTTATCATATTTGTACTTAAAAAATATTTTTAAATAAATATTGTCATAATATTTAATAAATATAAAGTTCAATGCTTCTGACTACTTTAGATTCAACTAATTGAATTTTTTTATAAATAAATTCATATTTTTTTCTTATTTTTACTCTTTTAATTAATTTTTTTAACCAACACACCTGTATTAAAGGACTCTTTAGTCTAAATTTAAAATCAAATTAAGAGTCATAAAAATACAAATTATAAGATTTACACGGCCATTTGTTAGAAAAAAATATTGTAACTAAAAACAATTGCGCTAAAGCGTTGTTCTCTCGTAAAACACAGCATCTTTACCATGTATGACAAAAATCTGCCGACAATATCACGTTGTCATCTTGAATTGTTATAACTTGATTTCCACCCGGGTACGGCATATTTAATGATTTATTCATTTCACTGTAAAAAATTTGTTATAAGTTTGGCATTACATTGATTTTTATTAATATACTATTAGATATAATTAAATTATATATATATATATATATGCAAACATATCAATAGAATTACACATCATAATGTTAAATTATAAAAATAAAAGATTAAATCACTAGATAAAATAATAATAATTAAATTAATTATATTTTTTATAAATATAAATTTTATTTAAAATACTTTTAATATTAAATAATGTAATTGATAATTTATATATTTAACGATATTAATAAAAAAATTTAAAAAATAATAATTAATAAATCTTAAATTTATCTTATATTTTTATAATTAATACAAAAATAATTCATTTTGTTTATTATAAAAGACATAAAATTATTGCATAAAAATTTAAAATAATATATCTCATATTATTAATAAACAAAATATTAATACTAAAAGTTTAATTTCTATTAAATAAAACTTATATCAATGAAGGTATTTTTAATGCATAACATTTATCCATAAATGACACTTTTTCACCGTATAGATGATATCTATTTTTATTTTTTTACATGCATAAGATAGACAAAAATTAATTCTGATCTACTTGTGAGTTAGAAGGAGTTGCAATGTTAAAAAGAAAAATATTGTGAAATGATACGTAATGAGAGAGACTCTAACTAAATTTAAAAGAATTCAATTTCATGCCTAATTAACCCACATGAACTAATACCGTAATCAACTTATTAGGTTCACCCATTTTGATAATACTATGGAATGCCTAATTTAATATTAAATTTATAAAATATAAAATTCATACAATAATCTTTTAATTTATTTTCTAAAATTTTATTTTATTATTTATCTATTTATTTAATTTTATCTGTTAAATATGATGATTTTTGGAGATGTGGTTTAAAAAATATATAATAATTTTTTATTATCATAAAGTACCATTTCTTAAAAATAAAAATACTAATTTTCCCTTTATAAAACGAGTTTTACTGTACTGTTGTCAATTAATTAAAAAAAATGAAATAAAGCTTGAGGTGAACTAGAAATGCATTCACATTGACAGAATCTTCTCGAGTGAGAGCAAGCATGCTTAATTCGTGTTGTGTCATCGTATTTGGTAAATTTATTCTGTGACAATTTTGTATTTTAGTTCTTGGTTTGTCAGATGCAATAAGTTGTTTTACAGTAAAAAACTTAACTTAGTGATAAAAATATTAACTTTATTTAATAATATAAAGTTACTTTAATAGCATATATTTACATTTTTATTTACGTTGGTAACCACGTGTTAAAAATATTTTTTTTAACATATACTAAATGACATTACTTTTAATTAAAATATTTCACTACAAACATTATTTTAACAAGAAAGTGCTTCAAATAATGATAAAATTAAAATTACATTAGATATTAAATTTATATTTAAATTTTTTAAAGTTAAGAAATATCTAAAGTATAAAAATAACAATCATTAGTTGTTATTTAAAATTAGTTATTAAAATTAGTAAAATGTACTAACACATTCGGAGTGACTCAAATCCACTACGTACTTTTAATAAAAATGATAGTGAAGGTATCACTGTCAAATTTAGTAAAATAATATCTTAAAATTTTTTTATTACAAATAAATTTTATCAGTTAATTATTAAATTGTTATTTGTTTGTTGAACACTAATTTGAACCAATTTTTTTTAACTATAAATTTTGCTTAGATTTTCATCGGTTTTGAATTGACTTAACATTTATTTTTACCATTTTTAAATCAGATAACTTTTTTGAGTTAAACAAACTATTAAACCAGTTCATTGATCTCATGGTTAAACTAACTTGTGCATTTTAGTTTAATTATAATTATGGCTTTCAGTGTCAGCCTTATCATGTAAGAACAAAATACTATTTCACCAACGAGAATTTATCATAAATTATAGTTGTAAAAACATGGAATTTAATCATAGTTAACCTTACTTAATTATATAAGACTCTTATTTTTGTTATTCTCGTTTTCTTTTTCATTAATATATATATATTTATTAAATTTTTTTAAATATTAATATTATCCTTTTAAATTATTGCCTTCATTTTAAAAGAATAATTAATAATTTAAAGAATAAAAGAAAAAAATAATTTAAGTAAAGATAATATATAATAGGATTGGATTGTATCTATCTCTATAACTACGTTTTAATTCCTATTCTCTAATATTGATATTTACTTTTTTTAATTTTAATTAATTTTATAATAATTCTATTAATTAAAAAATAACAAATACTTCATAAGAAGTATAAAATATTTTATAAAAAAAATACTGCTATTTTATTTTAAATGCCAGTAATTACTCACAATTCATTGCCAAATTTGAAGATATCAAAACGCGTTTAAACTCTTGGCGTAGATTCAATAAAGTTGATGGTACTATAGCAGTGCTCTGTCCCGTCACGTCATTTTTGTTCATTTGGTCATCTCCGTAGTCGCTTTCCACCGGGCCAGCTTGTCTCTACTCGCATGAACCCGTCTCATCTAAAAAATAAGTTAAATTTTTTAGTTTTATTTATTTGAGTTAGTGAATAGCTTGCCAAAAACTAAAAATAAAATAATAATAAATTGATAGATTATTATATTAATGGGTAATTTATTAAAATTATTAAAAAACTATAATAAATAATAAAAAATATTTTTATATTAATAAAAATTAATAAATAATTATTTTAAATTTTTAAAAATAAAAAATTAAATTCGATGAGTCAATCTATCTTATTCATATTTTATCGTGAGATAAACTAAATAAATTAGTAGATTTAAAATATTCAATCCAACTCGCTAATTTTTATAAATTAGATAAATCAGTTCGTCGAGATAAGTCTAATTTAACAATCTACATGTATATTATATTAAAATATTTATTATATAATTTAAAAAATTCAAATTTTAACATGTGTAAAAAATGTATGTATTATTTATTTATTGGTTAGAATTATTATGGTCATATATCATACAAATTTTGTTTGTTATATTAGTGCTTTTTAGAAATTTTAATAATTTTTTAATAAATTTTAATAAAGAAGAGAAATATGTGTCAAACATAAATAAAATAAAAAATTAATAAAATTTATATAATAATTTTTTTATTAATTTTAATATATAAATACGTTAGTTTTAAATACAATATATAAGTCAAATATATCATTTGAAATTTATAATTTTTAAAACATGTAAGTTAGACATGACATGTCCAACTTACTAAATTGTTTTCTAAAAAATATTAATAAGTTATATTTAAAAAATATGATTAAGACTGATTACATAAAAAAAATAATTAAAAGTTATATGAAATACATAATTTTAAATAAAAAAATATACTGATCGTGTTAAAAAAAGTCATCTGTCAAGTAAATATTTATAAATGCCTAATAAATATTAAATCAATCATCATCCCTGGATTTTTGTCTGTTTACCGGTGTTCGAATTCCAAATCATTATGGCGTTGCCTTTCAAGTTTCAATAATTGCCACACCGATCAAGGATGCCGGTATCATCCATAGATTTGAGTCCACACAAGGTCGTCACCCTTGTAACTAGCCCAAAACCGCGTTTACCCATTAAAAATTCTATATTAATTACTCCTTGTAAATAACATCATTTTGTCCCTTTTATTTATTCAAATTTTGAAGGAACATTAAACAAGATAATATCACCCGTATGATAAGAAAATATGTTTATTGCGGCCAATTACTTAATTAAACATTATATTCTTATAATAAATTATTGATTCTAATATTTTTCTTTTTTCTTTTCTGTTTCTCTCTGTCGTACAACTGACATTTAATATCATAAATCCAATAAACTTATTACATCCACTAAAAAAACGTAAAGACAAAAATTAAAATGTTAATATAGATACTGATAATCTACACTAATATAATCTAATATATTAATATTTGATATATTGATTAATAAAATTATTTGTTAACTAATATTAATAATAATATTTTAATTTTCATTATATAAAAATTATACAAAAAAAAAACAAGTATGTAATAATTATTATTTATTAATAAATAACAATTTTCTTTAGGAGGGAAACTCGAAGATGACTTATTAACACAATCCATATTACAGGGTGCAGCTACGACTTTTCGCCCCTTCACGAGGAAGCGAGTCATTTTTTCCATCAGATATTATAACTTTTCTGGTACAACGCATACACAATTAAAGGGATTTGAAAGCTACAAGTTGTTGCTCAATGACAGATATGAAATATTCAAATTCCCCGCTTCTAAATACCAAGCCAACCTCTAATCCATCCTCATTTGTACTTTCGGCAAGAGACATACACTTGAAGGAATGTAACATCTCAACTTTGATAGGTCTTCCAAATCCAAAATCAGTCTCATAAACAGTGAACTTAGGTGACCCTGTAACTAACAACGTACTTCCCAACACAAACATCTTTGTAAACAATGTCTTCCAGTTTTCAGCACCTTCCAAAGGTTTCCTTTTCATGCTAGTTATTGCCCTTTCAATAGCCATGATTGCATTCACAAAACCACCTTCTCCCTTAAGGTCCTTTCTCTTCAGAGTTGCATAACATTTCGTTAAGCAGTTTCCGAAGTACGTCGCTGGAATCGGGTAATCAAGACGATCTCTACAATCTGCTGCAAAACGAAAGTACTCCTCTTTCATCTCTTCTTTATTATCATCATCTCCATATCTTGCTTTAACCAAACTAGCCCACACGAAAGCACCAGTCACAACGAATTTTGATAGATATTTTGGCGCTTTAAATTCGTCCTTTTTCTTCCAGTGATTCAGCACCCATGTTTTTAGGCTCTCAATATCATCTCTTCCAAAAACAATCGTTGCCTTAACATAGTCCCCATCATCACACGCACGTTTAGGAGTTTGACCAATAATGAGTTTGTCCTTCCACGTTGACCTCTCTTCAAAATAGTCTCCTAAGAAAATAGCCTCGAGTCCCTTGGGGTCCTTCAACACTTCCCTATCAAAGCACGGTGGTGAGTTCTCAACAAGTGTGAGGTCAACGCCGCCGCTTCGACAAATGGAAGACCAAGACTTCATGAAATGACTACAACACCTATCATCCATCACGTGGCAATATGTGATTGCCATGCAAAAGCCATGGTTGGGAAAAATCGTGACTTGCAAGGCTACTAAAGGAAATATGAAAGTGTCTTCTTCATGGATAGTTGTGCATGTCAACTTGGGAACCAAGTGATCCAACTCTTTGAGATTTTTGGGTTGGTTGGAAGAAAGATGGTTGAAATCCGCTTTGGACTCTAAGATGGTTAAGGTGACAGAGTCATCATCGGTGCAACGAATGAAGGGTTTGTGGGGTGGTGGTGGACGCATGAGGTTTCCAGCGAGAGGGAAGAAATATTTAAGGGTAAGAGAGAGAGTGTGTTTGAGAGCAGGGAGTGTAGTTTCACAAAAATAGTGTGTGGCATGCGGATACTTATAGAAGAATTGACGTCTCACATAAACAGGACCTGCCAAAGACAAATCAAGGAATGTGAGGGGAAGAGATGTGGTTTTGCTTATAGCTGGACCAACCTGAGATTTCTCAACAAGCTTATGTGCTCTAGGCTCTGCCATTTGTTCAACAGTATATGCGAGAACAGATATATGCAAGCTTATTCAAGAGATGTGATGAATATATAGTACTCTCTTCTTTGAGTAATTGTTGGATTCAACGTTCGAACTTCAAGTTAAAGTTCGTGGAAGAGTTTGTGCCACGCCCACATGAAAAAAGAATTGTGACTTCAAAATTTTTTATTAGTCGTTGGCGTACTCATTATATCATCACGATTCTTAATTCTTTAATAGTGTTAATCGAGAAAACAAATTGTAATGTTTAAAACGGGTTAAGTTTTTGAATAGGTCAACATACTGGTTCGATTGTAATTAAAATTATGATTACTAATGTATAATATAAATTATACAATTTATTATGCAATAAAATAACTTTAAAATATAATAAATCGATTAAAATTTTTCAAATTAACATTAAATTACCACATTACATATCAAAATGCATGTGTTGTTCAATTGAAAAGGACTTTAATTCGTTAAGTTTGTAAACTTAAGTTCAATCCTGAAATTCATATAAATGAAAATAATACTTCCTTCAATGTCTCTGCATAAATTGAAAGAATAATCTATCGCACGGAAGTATGTATATTCTAAAAGATTAAAAAAAAAATACCATATTTTTTTTTTCTAATAAGATAAAATTAAAGTAAACATGAAAGGCCCAATGATAAAAGTTCATATATAAACCTTATAGTTATGGAGCATAAAGTTTTAATTATCTCATTTTTTTCTTAAATAAAAATTAGAATAAATAAATTAACAAGCAATTAAGCTCATTAAAAAACACAGTGATTTATTTGTTATCGATTTTAGAGTTCATTCTGATTTACAGCCATACTTAATTTATTGTATCATGACACATTTTAGTATAAAATTTAAGACAACTTACACTCAAATCTATTAAAGTTTAATGATTTTGTAAAATTAACCTTTTTTTATCTTACACAAGTTTTTCATAATTTATATTATAATATAATATCATATGTTATTATTTTTATTATACATATCATTAATATTTTTATATAGTTATATGAATTAAGAAAGATCAAAATAATATAATAAAACGAGATATCTGATAAAATTGTATTGAACCTCTTAAAGAGTGCAACTTATCCTAAGATCTAAGAGTAAGATTATTTTAAGCGCATATTCATTCATATTTAGCGATTCAAAGTAAGATCAATTTTCTTAAGATTAATTCAATCAAAATCTGACCTAAATAAATACTTAGAACTATTCAACTCTGTATTTATCAAATTTGTATTCATCTTGTTTTTTGAAATGTTAGAATTCAGAATCATTGACCTATTGAATGGACCATTTTAGTTTGTTTGGTTATTTTTTAGTTTGTTACATTCAGTTATTGGTAAATATGTATACTTAAAAAATAATAGTATTTATGTTATAGATTATAAAGAGTAATTTAAAAAATGATGCAAAAGTTTTTTTTTTTTTTTAACTTATCCAACTACACCTTAAATATAAGTTAGAATTATTTTCACCGGCTGCGACATTGACAATCTTCAATACTTTTCATTAGTCAAATAAAGTTACAGAAGGAAAAAAAGGAGCATTTGCCCTTTTTTTTTTTTTTCTCATGCCAGCTGTTCTCATGGGACCAATTTGCATTGTTGTCAGTCTAAATATTCCTAGATTTTGACGAGCAGAACTTAACTTGTGTACGGATAGAAAATCTTAGAATTTTAGAAAATTTAATATTATTAATAAAAGATGTTTAAAATGTAAATAAAAGTATAAAAAGAATTATAAATTATAATTATAAAAGGTTAAGTATAATACAGGATTTTTTTAAAGATATATCAGTTAAAATTATTTGTACTTATCATAAAATTTTCCAACTAAAATTATAAATATTCTAAAAATATTGTTTTTACTATTGAAATATATTTAAACTAGAAATTTAGAATTCCTCTTTCCAAAGGCAACATAAATGATTGAGTGGTACAATGACGGGGGATTTTCTCGAGCACAACTTCTGCGCAAGTGATGGGAGGAAACTAGGAAATTTCTGGACAGTGAATGACCTAATCCAAGTCATGTTCGTTACCTCATTCTTCTTATCCGTTCTGCCTCCTAGGCAAGGTCGTGGAAAGTCACTGGCTAACTTTAAAATTAAGTTTAAATATTGTGTTTTGGTTACAAAAAATTTCAAGAGTTATGTTAATAAATTAAATATTTTAATTAAAAAATTTGAAATTAAAATTAAAGTATTCATATACTTTAATGTAAAACTTCAGCTCGTTTAAAGTATTTAATTATTTATTTTCGATATTTAAGTTTTAATAAATTTTAACACATTTTTTCTTTTCTTGCAACTTATATATCTATTTTTGTAAATTAAATACAAACATTTTTTTATGTAATTTTTTCTCATTTAGTTTTATAAATAATTATTTTTTAAATTTAGATATTGATATATCTTTTTGTAAATCTTTCATTTTTGTACAGTAAAAAAATCACCATACAAAAATAATTTTTGTCCTTCAATTTAGATAATAATATTTATTGTGATTTATATATTAATATACTTTTATAAAATAGTTCATAGTTATGTATCATAAATATCTAACTACTTTAAAATTTAAATATCATTGAATTTTCTTGTAAATTTTCATCTCTTTACTTTTGTTTATATTAAAATTCAATTTTTTTTTTAAAAATAAACAAAGACAATCATTTACCGAGTATATTTATATCTTTACTAGTCTAATATATCATATTTTAAATTTTAATTACAAAAACATTGAAATCAAAACGAATTCCAATCATCATTTAGTGAGTGATGAGTTGTGTGTCTTTTAACGCAAGTGCTCCCGATATTTACTATATATGTGTAATTGATTAACCGAGGACAAAGAAAATGAAGGGTCTTCATTTGGTAGATGATGTTATTTAACCTGATTATCGGTGATATTAATTTCATATTTGTATAAAAACTCGATACAGGGAACATTTTTTTATGTCGTTATATATTGTTTGTGTAAAATGTTTATTCTATTTTATTTTATTTTGCACAACGTGGCTCTCATGCATGAAGAATTCTCCACCTTTATTTACCCGATTCTAGCTTCTCCTTTTTCGTTTTGCTAAATGTATGATAGGTCAATGTCAGTCTGTAACGATCTTGTGCATGCTCTGACTCCATGTGAACAAATGAAAGCACTCTTGAAAATGTAATGTAAGGGAAAAACATTGCTAAAATACAACCTATGACTTCTCGAGAAGTAAATATAGCCCGGAGAAAATAAAATAAAAATAAAAATAATATAAAATTGTATTAATATGAAGGAGTGAAAAAGTTGGTATTATAAGAGGAAATAAAAGGTTTATATAATTTATAAAATTAACTAACTGCTAACAGTTTTAACTAATCTTTGACAGCCCCACAAGCTAGAAATGCTAGCACTTCAAGTTTGGAAAGAACAACACAAACACATAAGACATGTAAAAAGCCAAAAATACACTGGTAAAAAAAAAAACAAAGGCTAGCACTAATAAGCCTATAATATAATCAAAGTTAGAATATTAGACAGAAACGAGCTTTAACACTTAACTAGCTAGCAAAAGCAACAAAAATCAATGCTTGACTATCCAAAGAAGAAGCTTTCATTAACATTAGTTTAACCACTAAGGGAGGAAGATCATGCTTAATCACATTAAGGCAGAAGTTGAAACTAAATGCTTAACCATCCAAAGAAAAATATATCATCAGCAGCAGCCTAACCACCATAACAAACGTAGAAGCTAAAAACATCAAAATTTAACCACCAAATAGAACTGATACCTGAATACTTAACCACTTGGAAGAAGTTCAAAAATCAAGCCAAACAAGGCTAAAACAATAACAAGTGCAAACTATTGCATTTGTCAATCTTCATGAATATAAGAGAAATCAAAAAAAAAAAAAAAGACCTAAACAGTTTGTGAGCCCCATTTTATGTCACTAAAGCAGATCAAGAAACTACAAAAAGTCTTCAGTCTGAGCAAAACTGCTACAAAACTTAGTCCCAGATTTGAAGTTATGTGTAACATATCTCTATGTTTGAAAAAGCACATTATGTGTGCAACTAGCCCTAAACCAAAAATTCCAGAAGCTACAACATCAGAAGCTATCAAAAGGGAATACAAGAGGCAATACATAAAACTCCTTTGATGCATCAGTCACCATAGAGTATAAGAGTATACACAGGTAAGACTAATGACTCACAATTTCAAAAATTGCAAGACAAGAACAATAAATCTTGTTAAAAAAATTTGATTCGTTGAAACATATTGAATCAATTTCATATCGACAGAGAAAAAATGATTCAAAATAGAGAGGCTTAGTAATCCAGAGCGCAAGACAAGGATCTATATTGAAGTAGTGATTACAGAAATGCAGTTGGAGCCAACGTTTCTGATCAGTGATCATGGATCTTTTAAGCAAGTAAAGCGAGAATAACAAGAAATCCTCCTTTTTCCTTTGCTTTGAAGAAAACAGAGTATACAATCATGGTGCATTACAAAAACAACCTTTCCTCCGAACTGAGTCCCTGCAATGCAGTTTCACCAAAAAATTCAAGCAGAATTGTGAATCAAAACCCATAACTGAAAGATCGAATGAAAGGTTTAGATTGGAGGCCGCAAAGATGATGGCTTCGACGGCGAGGTAAAAGGGCACAAAAAGAACACTCTTAGATATGTTTGATTGGAACCCCTAGTTAGGGCCATCGTTATTTTTTTTTTTCATGCATAGAACAAGGCAAAAGGATATAGAGAGAGTGTGAGATTTTCTCTTTGTAGAGTGCGCAATAGAATTAGCTCATGGTGTGTACCATGGCTCTGATACCATGTCAAGAAACATGGACCAGAGAAAATAATAGAATTAAAATGGAAGAAATATAAACTTGTATTAATATGAATGAGTGAAGAGGTTGGTATTACAAGAGGAAATAAAAAGCTTATATAGCTCATAGAACCAACTAACTACTAACGGTCTTAAC